AGAGAGAGAACAAGAAAGTTCGAAAGAAGAAGAGAAAAGAGAGAGAGAGAGAGAGAGAGAGAGAGAGAGGGAGAGAGAAAGAGAGAGAGAGAGAGAAAGAGAGAGAGAGAGAGAAAGAGAGAGAGAGGGAATGAAATGAGGTCGAACTGATTCTTTTGATGTTTTCAAAAAGTCAAAAATGCTGTATGCGACAAACAAAAAGAAAAAAGTATTTGAGAATTCACAAGTTATGAAGTTATTGTATAGTTGATGTCGATAATGAAAATGAAGGAAACGATACATAAAGTTAAATACGGAGGTTAGTAGACAATGAAAGAGAGAGAGAGAGAGAGAGAGAGAGAGAGAGAGAGAGAGAGAGAGAGAGAGAGAGTGGGGGGGGAGTAATAGAAAAGAAGGAAAAGGATAACGAGGCACTTTGTGCATTATTACGGATGCACACCCATACACACCCAGACACTTAGAGCGAATTATAGCTTTGAGAAGAAATAGAAGAACTTACTTTAAAAAGGAAAAGAAAACCTGAAGACAGAAAAAAAACAAAAGAAACATTGGAAGAGTTAGGAGAATTGATATGAAATCTATACTATTCAAAATATAAATAAAGAAAGACATTAATTATTTTTAAGAAAAACAATATAATTCTTGGGAACACAAGAATGGAGATGGGAAATAATAAGAATACATCAACAATAGCTTAGTTATATCAAATGAAGTAATCAAAAAGTCATTAGATTAGCTTCTGTTCGAGACCCAATATACATATTTCATTAGATATTTCATTGGATTAAAGATTATTTTTGACTTTCTCTCTTTTCCAACTCAAAACTTACTGGCTAGGTGAGGGTAATTGACGACTGTTTTCTTTCATTTTTGCCATCAATAAGGCACATGTTTTGTGATCGCTTACATCCACTACCCTGAAAATATTAAAATTAAGCCTCTTCATAGTTTACCCTCACTTTCGTTTCAAAAAAAGAAAAAAAATGACTTTTGGAGTCTCCTCTCTCCTTCTCTCTCTCTCTCTTAAAAGTATTTTTAACTAAGTTACTATTCAATTTAATTATATTTCTCTACGCACAAATTCGTAATATTAGTGCTCCAGCAACGGGAAGGAATTTGAGTTTTGTGACCTTCAAGATATTTTCATAAAACATCAAAACGCTAGAATGGGAGACAGTAAAAAGCATAACTTTCAATAGAAAATGTGCCGCCGTGAAATCTTCGTATACGATGTGACAGAGAACAATTCCGTTGTCTCATCCCTAGGGGGCATTGCTCGTTTTTTTTGACAGCCTGCCCTCTCCCCAATATAGCTCATCTTTGGGAAATATATCCAATCTGCCATTCGTCAAAAGATGACCAGGGTGGTAAGATAAGTGAAAACATAGTTTTTTGTTTGTCCTCATTCTTATAATTTATACCTTTCATATCCAGGTGGTCTTATGAGGAAAAGTTGAGCTGGGTTGAAATAACCAAATAAGAAGTTGTCCTTGTTTTGACAAGGGGAGTTAGGTGAGAAATAGGTAGTAATTGTTTCACATTGCTGACTGTTGGACATTTATTCCTGAGAAACTTTTTAGAAATCATTAAACGAGCGAAATTAGGATTGTAAAAAAAAATAAATCTGAGCTTTAATGAAAAACTAAAACTGGAAACAAACTTTCCGTTAAGATGGCGTGTACTCAGAAATATTTCGAAGAAAGAGTAAAGAAATTGCAAAAATAAAAAATTTTAATTAGAAACTTTGTCTGGGAGAATGATTCACCAGGGTAAAAGCTCGTGAACTAGTAGTTTAAACTATTTCATAGGAATTTCCTTTTCTGAAATCAATGTCTAATGTATAGTGAAGTTGGAGATAGTATTAAAAAATAAGAGATTTTGAAGAAACAGGGATTATGTCTGAAAGCAGTACTTTGTCATTTCGAGTATTATTTGGCTCTTTTTCTCTCATCTTCTTTCACATTTTGTTATAAGTCTGTTTCTCTGATACCTTCGACGTGCTGGACTGGAAACTCTGTGATCGTCAGTATCGTCGTCCGGACTATTCACCGATTCTGAAAGAAAGGAGGGTGAGGAAGCCCCTGGACGGAGTGATGCTCGACGAGCCGCCTGAAATATGTTTTGAAAATATTATACTTGTCATTTTACAATAAAAATCAGTCTGCAGTTAGTTTCCGATCTGATTAACGTTAGAGATTCAGGAAAAGAGTGGAACAAATTGAATATTATCTTCTTCTACTGTAAAAAGCTAAGAATGAGGATGAAGAGTAAGGAATGAAAAGCCATTGCTAGTTGGAAGGTTACTTGGTGCTTCCCTCAAAAATAGTTGTGCTATAAGTAACAAATATCAAATATTTTGACGCCACTTCTGAATAACGACTGAAGAAAAATGAAAAAATGCTACCGCAAATACTTTTTGTGAATTTCTGAAATTATTAAGATGGTTGAGAGAATGAAAATGATGTTAATAAAGTATCCTCACTCCACAATGAAAGCTTGGAGTGGATATTGCCCAAATAAAGCGGATTTATCTTCATTTTTTTCTTTTCTCAGTATTTGTTCATGAAATTTTTCAGGAAACACATGATTAAACTTCAAAATTTGTTAAGCGATTATAGAAGAAAAAAATATCACTAAATGTTAAAAGGGAAACATATGAGATTTTCAAGAAGTTCTACTTCTTTTTTTATACTATTTCTGCGCCGAAGCGTATTTGGAGTATGATTTGAAATGAGTGATGGAGTTGGATGGGAATAATAAGGTGAGAGAGGAAAACACAACCGTTCTCGATCACGTTCTTCTCCTTTTTTGAATGAAAATTGAGATATCATGGGAAATCAGCATAATATTACTAGCATAGAAAGAGACATCGAAATCGAAAAGAAGGTGTTTGAATACAAGAGAAGACAGAATGAAAATGCGAAACTCAGCGGTAATTTGATTGTGTTTATGTTCCGTGGACGGCATTTGATGAGAAATTTATGAATAATTGCAGAAAGTTCAGAAAGAATTTCCGATAAAGCATAAGGAAAAGCTTGTGTAGTTGTTCAGAAACAGAAACAAAATTCGAAATAGAATGATTATTCTTTCAAAATATAGATGAACTCGCCACAAAAAAGAGAAATTGTTTAAATGTGAATTTCATCATATAAGAAGATCTAAGAAAAATGTCAATATTAATATTAAAAGATTGTGAAGATGATGGAACTAGCGGGGGAGGCTCTCTTCATAAAGAAGAGAAAGAGAGGAAATGTATAAAAACGCACCTCCTTCTTCCAAATAGCCGAGACCAATATTTTCTTTTTACTTTTCGAAATTAACAACCATAATCTATATAGAAATTGGTTGAAGCAGTACGTACGAGAGAGGATTGAAAGACAGAGGGACACAAGCTGATTTGTTAGAAGAGTTTGTTAGGCAAAGGGGGTCCTTCTGAGCTTCACTTGCTTTCATTTATGCTCTTGTCTTCTTAAGCTTCAACATAACATGAAAGAACTCAGAGGTAGAAAGCTTATGAATGGAAAGCCTTTTAGATATACAAGACTACTACAATAGAATGAAATACTCTAAACGTTACATTAAAAACTTCCGGAAGAGGGTGAAAGAGAAATTTTCTAAAAACGGCTTTTCTTTAACGGGTTTATTATTTCTTTGCCTATCTTCTTATATGTAATAACCGTTTCATTAGTCTTTTTTTCTTCAATAGCCTCAAGAACACCTACCTCAAGAACAGCTGTTGGGAAGTCGATTGAGGCACGTGGTCGAACATCCAATGTCTCTGATGTTGATGACACTGAAATTATAATATAAAAAATGAAGAAATTCAGTACTACCTTGCAACGAAGAATCATCATCTGTGTTCCGACGTCGTTTCAGTGACTTTTCTGGAAGAAGGATGATTAACCGAAGTTAAATGAGGAAAAAGACATTCCCACCCCCTTCACACGCTCATTTTACCGAAATGAAGTTCATGTTATATTTTACGTGATAGAGAACATTAACAAATGCACGTAACAACTATATAATTTGCAACGAAAACAGTAATAAATTATATGATATGTATTATAATACGTGCTCAAATGTGATTTATGAAACTATTCAAATCAAATTATCTTGACAAACTTCGATGAGAAAAATCTTTTGCTGAGCCAGAGCTTAAGCGATGAGTTTGTACAGCTGAACGTGTGCGGTGCATAGAAGTTCGAATCATTTTCAGAAAATTTTGAACACGTAACCACGAGACGTTTCGCCCAAATAGGAAGAATGGCTTATTGGCTGCACAAGACTCATCTTCAGAAGCTCTTAACTGACACCGTTCAACCCAATATTGCTTTTCAGAAGAAATTAATTTATATACAAAAAATTTGCATAAAGTCATAAACTAACCACGATTTCTGGCAGCTAAAAGAGTTGGAGGTGCAACAGACTGACGACGTTTGGCGAAAGCCCGGCCTACTACCATCACATCTGAATCATTATACAGTTGTTCTAACTTCATCAGCACAATAAGAATATATACATATATATATGTAGATATATAAAAGAAATGAATTGCTTCGAAAAAAAAATGTATGAGCTCGAAGAAGCTAGTGCGGATCATACATAGCTTGCTATATGTAACCAATTGAAGTAGTGCTCGATTTGAGAGCGATTTGAATTTTTGGCAACAGCGAGACAACATTTCAATAAAATGTTCAATTTATATTTAGTGAAGAGATCAATTTCCTCTCAACCCTTTCCTCTCCACTCTTCACGTTTCTCTCTTCTCCTTCCTCTTTGAATTTTTTATCTACAATAATTCAATGAGAAAAGGATAATTCTTGAAATGTTGACAATTTTGATGAAAATGTGAACTAAGAGAGTGGAATGGTTATGTAAGATTGAAATATGAAAAAGGAAGTTTAATTAAAACAATAGTTGTCTCGTGGTACGGGTAGTGTTCACATTTCATCTCGAAATTCGGATGGTAAAAATATTTGATAGTAAAAAAGGCACTTGTTAAGAATGCTCGAAAGGAATAAGAAGGCATGAGTGGACAGATATAGTTGGCTAGATGAAGCATTTGTACTAGATATATAATGGATAAATAGTAATACTGAAAAAGAGTAAGTGAGAGAGAAAGAGTGAGAGAGAGAGAGAGAGAGAGAGAGAGAGAGAGAGAGAGAGAGAGAGAGAGAAGAAGAGAAGAAGGAGAATATGACTGAATTGGATAGGAAACGCAACGGGAAATATCCATGTAATAAAGCAATTGGAAAGTTCTTGCACAGAAGCTATAATTGAATCAACCAATATCTTTTTTGAGTTGCACATGGCTCATATTGGAGCTGTTCATTTTTTAATTCTTCTCTAGCTTATTTATATTTTCGGACTGAAAGGTATGAACTCATCGTCGAAGATTTCATCGGTACGAGAGAACGTAAGCTTCATTCATGACAGTTTCCAATGAAAGAACTATGAACTGTTTTTATACAAAAGTTACAGCTGTTCTGTTGAATGAGAAAAAAAAAGAAGAATCGATATAAAGATAAAGAAAAACGCTTTGGCTCACGCCTCTCAATAAAATCTTTTTATGAAATGTTCTTTTTACATAAAAACGAAAATGAAGTCGAGTGATGTGAGACTGGTTGTAAGCAAGAAGAAGTGTCTTCATAATAGATGAGTTCTTCCCAACTTTTGGAATAATAAAAAATTTCCTTTTCATACGCATTTTTCATGACAAAAAAAAAGATTTTATTAGCTTTAAAAGAAGGAATATAACTAGAATAACGAAGAAAAGCAAATTTTTTACGCTTAATTACACGAAAAAGCGCTCTAGCAAAAAATAATAAAAAAAATTGCACTTATCTTTGACGCATATTCAAAACGAATGCAATAAGAGAGATTTCTTAATTTGTAAGCTGAAAGAGAATCATCGCAAGTGGTTTCAATTACACAACTTCTGGCATCACTTAGAAAGTATTGAAGAAGATTCCAAATCAGCTTATATTTCTCATTAAACTGATGCTTCATGTCACGTCATTTCCAGATGTTTTAAAATAATTGAAGAAGACGTTGAGAAAACATCCAATCATGATGACATCGCAGACGTCGTCGTGGTTTCGGAAGCTATCAATAAACGGGTAACGAATGAATTAAATTTTTTCTTTTTTCTTTCTTCATTTTAATAATAACGAAAATAATAAATCAAATAGTTGAACAAGCATTTTTCGATTCAAAAAGAGAAAGATTCTAAGAATCTCAAGTTGAAGACAGCCGGATATGTGCTTGACAAGGGCTCAGATTCATTCATTTTGTTAGGCGAACCTCAGGCAAAAAAAAAGAAGATGAGAAACAACATTTACAAGGAGTAAAAGGAAGAAAAAGAGGAATATTGATGAACATCAGGAAAGCAAAAGTCCTTAGCTTGTTTTGTACAATAATTTTTTGTTTTTAATCAATTTCATACAGACTATATTTATTTTTTCGTTTCTATTTAAACTATTTATTGAAGTAATGAGTAGAAAGAAAGAAAGAGGCAAAAACTTGTATAGAACGTGAAGAGAAAGAATGAAATACATAACTTTATGTCTCAAGGGCATAAGATTAGGTTCAAAACTACCTATAACTTTTGAGAAACTGACTTGTTTGGATAGACGTTTTTGCTTCTAGAAAGCTTCGTCTTATAAAAAACTGACAATGAGATTTGAGCTAATTATCTCTTCTCATGACACTCTTTGTACTTCTTTAAGCCTCAATGGTTTAGACAAACTAAAAATATTGGAAAAACCGAATATTTACGAAGATTAAAGTTATTCATCTAACAACCCTCCCTCTCTCTCTCTCAATAACAATCTTCTTCATCACGCTTTACCCCCTTCTCGGCTTATTGTTTTTATTTGTTTTTTTTAGAAATTTTCTTAAGTATGCTTCTACTTCTATTTGTCATTTAAGTTGCTAAATATCAACTCAAATATTTATCGAAACCCTTCTCATTTATCCAAAAACTTTTGATAATTCAAAAAAAAAAGAAGTTTGAAATTCAAGCACATTCTGTTTTCAGATATAATTAAGTAAACGGTGGTTGGACAATTTGACGTATTAATTAGTCAACATTTTCAGGTTATTTGGGCTGTTTTATTGTTGTGGAAAATTTTTTTGGGTCGAAAGTAATTGGCTCCATCTGTATTCAAACGATGAACGTTTGAATGACGTGCTATTCGACGCCGTTCTTCTCGGAAACGCAATCGAGCCGTAGCTATATGCTGCATAAGCTCAGCATATTCATCATCCTGAAAAATAAATCTCAATTAATGCATAACTTCAATCTGTCTATATTGTTATGAACATCATCGTGACATAGTGATCATATAAAAATGATACTTGGGTAAAGTGTGCAGTTATATTGAGACGAACTGTAATGGTGACCAGAAGTTTTTTGTTTTCTGGGTTTATATAGTGGCTGTGAAATACTACATACATGCATACGGCAAGCTTTGAAACATTTTATGGGGTAGACCTTAAGTTTAGTTTTTATGAGAAGGGCGAGATGTTTCCCATCTTCCATGATAATGCTGTAGTCGCGTTGATATTTCAGTCTCTGAGTAGGATCAAAACTTTGTTCCATCATCATGATAATTGCTGCCCACTGACGCAGCCACTCCAAGGAATTTCCGGACACCTCAATTTTGAAATTAAATTAAATAGAAGTTAAAAACCTCAATATAGGTGTTTGTCATCATAGCAATCAACATGTTGATTAGTAACAATGTAACCAACAACATATAAATAACAAACGTTATCTAAACAGTTTGTATTGTTGAAAATGACTGGAGTAAGAAGAAACCTTTCCTATCATCGTATGTTCACATTCTTCTAATTGTTGGAAGAAAACAGAAAACTCCGTTAAGCTCATTATGAACATTCTTACATAAGATTCCGCAATGTTTCCCATTATATTTCGATCTCTGATATTTCCAGTATATTTTTTTTTATATCCGAGAAATATTATGTAGAAAGCTGCAAAAGTGTTTGAGCTCAAACTAATGCGAGAAATACCTTGTGAGAATCCAACAACAATTACCAAATAAATTAAAAAAAATCTCATTAGATCTCGGATAATTATCTTATAGAGCATCAGAACAAAAGGACCCACAGATTTGAATCCTCTGAAATTAGAAATGAATGTTAAATGTTATCTAATTAACGGAACCTTGCGAAAAATAAAAATTTAACAGCTGTCAATAAAATGGTAATTGACATGACGATATCTTCCATTTCGTCAAAACAGAACAATCTCATAATAAAACTCGATATTAATAAGACACAGGAGATCAAAAAGATGGCCTTGGCTGGGAACCCTGACTAAAGAAAAAATCTATTTGAACACCAAATGCTTCAATCAGTACCAAACTAAGAAAATACATATTGCGGCCAACATTTCTTATGTGCGAATGCATTTGAAACAGGTACAATGAAGCTCCGACTACAGTACAGATATTCAATATATGATAAAACTGTCGAACGTTCATCTTTTTTTTGGACTTCATTTTTAACTTACTATTATCTTTAAGCGCACATGTGATAAAAAATTGAACCGAGATATGCAAATCAAGGTGTTTTCCGGATTCTGACGCTCAAACGGTGTTGGCCTCAGTATATAGCAAGCCATTGTACACAAAAAATATAATATAAACATGAATAATTGAGCAAAAAGCCTGGAATTGAGTGAATAATGAAAATAATTTAAGAAATCTACATTCGTCTGCCGTAAGTTGCCCATTTTCGTTGAACAAGTTGTTCCAAAAGATTGGGTAAGAGCTGTAGATGTTCTGATTTCTCTCCATAAACAACAAGTGCTAAGGCGGAGTTCCTATTAATCTTGAAAGAAGTAACAAAGATTGTGTGAAAAAATAAATTTTTTGATTCTTACATTTCCAGTTGATGGTTCAATCGAATCCAAATGCTCGAGTGGATAAGCAGCTGATTGTAATCCACCATATGTCCAGTATACCATTCTTTCAGCTTCTACGATTTTCTCGAACATCTTTCAAACTTAATTTGCGAATTTCGCTCGAGAAAAAGAAGAAACCTGTTTTTTTGCCAAAAATGCTGCTAGTGTGCATGGAGTCAAATTTTGCCGGTTCTGTATATGAAGATCTGCTCCTAAGGTTAGAGCCATTTTGAACATTCCCTGAAAGTGTTTGTAAAATATTTTGACAGATTTGTTGAGCTACCCAGTTTTCATGAATTGTGCAAATATGAAGAATAGTATTCCCGTTAGAGTCCATGGCATTCAAATCAGCTCCTTTGGCTATTATCATTCGGAAGCATTCCATTTGCGAGAGGCAAGCAGCGAATGATAAAGGATACTCGCCCCAGTAAAGATGTCTTGAAGGAAATGAGAAAAGTGAGAAATGTAAGCTTAATTTACCCCGAGTATGTTGTGTTTCTTGATATGGAAACATGTTCCATATCGGATATGTCGCATCGGGAACTTTTCTGATCATCACAAGTAAAAAAGTTTCCGGTGCAACGAGCATTAACATCAGCTCCGCAATTTAGGATGAATCGAAGAATTTCAGCATCTTCCGTTTCAATGGCCATGTGAAGGACTGTCTCTCCGTAATATTCATCACTTATATAAAAATCATTTATTATTTTTGGAAAAATGAATAACATCCGCTCCGCTAATAATTTCATGTGTTTGGGTAAACCTGGAATGTTAGGTTCTCAGCTTCTCTTTCATTAAATACCTGCTAAAAAGCAAGTGTGGAGTAAAGTTTCCCCCACTGACCCTCTAGAGTGGAGATCCCAACAAACAAATTTAGTTTCCCAAGAATGAAGAGGGGGGAAAGAATTGCCTGACAATTACAAAAACTTTTGTGAAACAATCTCTGAGAACTTACCGGTTCTTTCTTTGTGCCTGAAGCTAATGATGTCGTTGATTAACAGCATCTCTCCTTCTCCATTATTATAGAGCAAAGGTCCGATTTTCTTAGAAAAAAACTTATTTTCGTGTAAGCGATGTTATGTACCTCTCGTATATTGTGATCCAAATCGTCAGTGTTTCCTGATCGAATTGCTTCTCTAGCTAATTCAGCCAAAAATCCGTTGCCTGTAACATCAGCCAATTTGTACATAGCATTGCTCTGATTGTTAACCTGTGAAATTTGAAAGCCATTATCATTTGAGAAAAAAAAACCTGGTCTTTGATGCCAGCGGTGACAGTTGACGAAGTATTTCCCATTTGTACTGATTTTAAAGTTCCATTTTTACTACCTCAAAGTATTCATAGATGAATGGTTTCGTTGAATTTACTGAAGCAGAAAGAGTCAAGTAACTCGTTTAACCAATAAAAATTAAATTTTCTTTTCTTTCTCGATTCCTCTTTCTTGATTGTTCATTTATAAGAATGAGTATATAAGAAAATTCATTTCTCTCCATCATTCTGGCAATTTTCTTCCGATCGAACACCCAGTCTTCCGACATCTTCCGGTATTTTCAGCTTCATTGCTGGTTCAATTCCACTCCAATACATTTTCTCTTACCAACTTTATAAATTTTAGTTTCTTAAAATGTCATACTCCAGTGAATTCATCCAAGATGCCGCAACGACTGATATTGTTAAACATTTTCCTGAAGCATATCAGGTAAGATGCTTTCATAAACCTCACGTTAACAAAAGTAATCTAGAGCGAACGACCGCAGAGATTATATTACAAAGATGGCGAAATGTTTGTCAAAGACGATTTTATAAAACAGCATCCAATACCAAAGTCTTGTTTCTATCAGAAAAAGTTTTAATCTTTGTTAAATTACATTTTCAACGTACCTTATTCAGCAAGGGAGAAATATTATTAGAATCAAGTGAAGATGACTCCTATTTGATTTTTGATTGTTATTGCGAAGAAGAAGGAAATGATGAACACATACATCATCTTAGGTGCTCAGATCATGTCAACTTCTTAAGAATATTCATTTTTAGAGCCTTCAAGCTTCATTATCATTTTTCTGACAATTCTTTCTCGTTACAGGAACCAAAAGTGGAAAATAGTGGTTTCTTCCAAGTTTATTTTTGTTTTCACAAACCGATTTTTTTATTATTCCTAAATTTAGGGAAGAATATTTTGGCATCAGAAAATTCCATTGAAGAACTGTATTGGTGGTCCTTATACAACATGGAAAGATTTGAACATCAGTCAAGACATCGACTTATTTGGGAAAATTTATAGAATTACAAATTGTGACAGCTTTACTAAGGTTCTTTTAACTAGAATGAAATTTTAATGAAACTATTAAGAACTTTTTGCTGGAGAACGGTATAAAAGTGAATGATCCTGAAAAAATTCCCGAAGATCCTTGGTTAGTACGAAGAAGAACAAAAGACTCATCGTCTCTTAAGCTCGACAATGGAATGGTGGGGTTAACTAATGAGAAGATGAGAAGCTGTTTTTTCTAGACAGATTTCATTCCGTGTCCGAAAGTGATGGCATTTCGTTGCTGCTGGTTAGACACTTCAACAGATTTTAACTCGGTTCGGTTGAAAAGAATCTTCAGACTCACGCTCTTCACTATGGATAACACAATTTCACTGACAGAAGAGACGAAGGAGTTCGAAGGACAGCTGTTTCTGAGAAGAATGCAATTGCCGATACCACCCACTGGTTTCTCGAAAAAAAACTATTCTCCTTGATTAAGACGTTTTAGGTACTCAGAGGAAAACGTTTTATAGAAATCATGACTTTCGTCCAGGAGTTTGGATCGAAGTTTTCAGCCGTCCCATGTTTATATTTGAATGCGTAGGCTATGAGACAAGAAACTTCATGAAGCAGCAACATGGCGAAACTGAGTTTGGGAGTTCATCAAATGAAGTTCGCCGCAAGAAAAAGAAAACCAATATTAAACTACAACTTCATATTTTTCAGATTCTTCTTGCTGGACCACCTCCAAATCCAATTTACAAAGAGATCCAAACTTTACAATTTTTGGCAAAAATGGTTTCATAAATTGTTTAAAAAAACATTAAAATAAATTTATTTCCATTGCAGGTTGATCCGCCTCCAAAATTCATCCAGACTGTTTTTATTTTGACTTTCGACATAAACAAGAGAATTGTTAATATTGATGAATCCGGAAAAACATACAAATGGAGTAAAGGAAGATCTTTTTTATTCAATATTGATGCTTCGAGTTACAAGTAATATGAGTTAGTAGAGAGAATCACAGGCGTACTGATGAACTTATAGTGAAAATCAGTTTTCGATCGGTGAGACTGTCCAGTTCTTCCGTTGGCATTTTCTGTTGATGGAAGGAAACAAAGAAACAGAAGAGTACTTGAAATGGAAAACTTCTACAAGTTAGAAATACAATTCTGAATAAATTCTTTTTCAATTTTCTGAAAACATCTTAACGATTGAAAATAATTATTCATCAAAAAAAACATTTACTCTGCCGATTAACCATTTTATTGTTCGATTATACTTTCTTCAAATGGATTATGCTAGTCAAATCAAACAAAAAGTTATAGAGTCAGCTGTAACGGTTTTCCAACTACGTTCGGCAGTTCAAGTACTTCATTCTCAACGTTTTCAACTACCTAAAAAATGAAACTTCTGATATCGATTCGAAATATTGTTTCAACGTACAAACTCTTCTAACTCTAAAAGGGCTTTTTCTGGGTGAGGAAAAGGAACAGAGTGCCACCAACCACTCCTCAGTTTTACACCATCAGTAAATCTTCAAGTCTTATGAAATTATTATTAATCTTGAGAAGTCTTACGGAACTACAGTGATTCTTTCATGATCTGGCTTATCCTGATCATTTGGAGGTACAACAACCATGAACATTTTTTCTCCATTGGTTGAATGAATCGCGAAAGAACCTTCAGATCGACAGAGTAATAGCTATAGGATAACAAATAAAATAAATTATTCAAGCATCACACTACATTGATAGAAATAGATTTATTCTTCGAGTCAAACTTAACTCCAGGTCTACCTGACTGATTCCTTAATCCTCCCGTCAAACCTATACTACTTCTGTGCTAGTCATGATAAAACTTTACTACCATTGAACTCGATCTCCTTATCAAGCCCATTTTCGGAAGACATCCAACGCATGGTAAACTTCTGGCTAACAGTCTTGCCTTCGGTCAATGATTCAGCCTGATTTATATTGGTTCATTCAACGAAGCCGTCGTATTAAAGCAAACTAGACTGATTTCTTCTCCTTCAAGAGTTATAGCCTTGTTTGTTTCCAAGTTGCTAGAGTTGCCGTCGAACAGAACAACTTGGGAAGTAGCACCCCCGGAAATCTAAGAGCGGTGAAGTTTAGTAGTATGAAGTAAAGCATAATTACCTTGAAGTCTCTAACATCCTTCCAGCATTTCAAAAAAGGGATAGCTTTCTCTACAAGAGCTTTGTTGAACGTTAGAGTCATAACTGCGGTCTTTGGTAAATATAGTAACAAGGAACAATAGAGAACCTTCCGAGTGCGTATAAAATCAATAATGACCAAATGAGATCAGTATTATGTCCATGCAAACAGGTTGTGTGCTATGGAAGTACATTCAATCGATTATGCCCTTATTCGAAAAGAAAAATGAAATATCACAATGTTGTAGTTTTCAAGAAATGCCTCTGAAGAATAAGGCTTAATTGGAGAAAATAAAATAAACAGATTATGAGGGGGTGTTAATGTCCATTTATAAAACGTCGTTTATGTTTAAATTAACTGCTCAAATAGTATGTGATAAAAATACTTTGAGATAAGAATGAAAATAATCAGATTGAGATGAAGTTCAGAATTAATTTACTTAATTATGACTGTTTCGTACAATCTCGATGTTTCCCAATCGAGTTCTCTTGCCTTTGTACGTCTTCTCTTCCGATGGAAAGGATCTGTATGGAGATCTGTTTACAAAGAATTATTGATTTGGTTGATAATGTACTATATTGTTTTCTTCATTTATCGATACGCCTTGAACGATCAACAGCAGGAGTGAGTTTTAACTACACTCCATTATATCCTAAATTCGTTTTATTTAGGGTGTTTAGTAGGATTGCTGAGGGTAGTGATAAGGAGCTCAGCTATATTCCTCTAACTTTCTTATTGGGTTTCTTTGTCTCCATAGTAATTGACCGCTGGAGACAAATTTTTAATAATATTGGATTTATTGAGAAGTATGCTCACGGACTGAAAAACATTCACATTAATTTCCAAATTTAGTAATGCATTAACTATATCTTATATAATCAGAGGATCAGACGAGGAAACAGTGAAAATTCGCAGAAGTTTAATACGCTATCTTGTACTAGCACAGGTATTTGGAGAGTTTTGGCTCTCACGTTCCCATTGTCAAGGTTTTGGTTTTCCGCAACATCTCCATGAAAGTTCGGCGCAGATTTCCTACTATGGAATCTATAATTCGTCAAGGTTTTTTGAGATACCGAGGTGAAAAATGACACCGTTGCAGGGTTCATGACGGTGGAAGAGCGAGACCTTCTGATTTCCATAGAAACTCCTTACAACAAGTATTGGGTTCCCATTCAATGGGCTATGAATGCTGTTTTAGATAAAGTAGATAAAGACAAAATAGCTGCAACTTATCACAACATTGTGGCAAACGTCAGTCTCTCTCTCTTTCCACCTGATTTATATACTTCTTCAGGAATTCAAACTATTCCGAACAAACTTATCAATGTTGGCTAATTTCGATTGGGTCCCAATTCCTCTTGCTTACCCCCAGGTTCTTTATAAGTCATTTTGAAAAAATGTTCTAGAATCATTATCGATATGGTTTTATCTTTTGACTTTGAACTTTCTAATTTTAGAGCTCTATGTTTAGGTTGTCTTTCTGGCTGTTCGGTTCCACTTCTTAGTGTGCGTAGTATCTCGTCAATTCATTCTTCCGAAACAAGGAGAAGATAAGACTGGAGTATGCTAATTGTTCAATCAAATAAGTGAAATTTTTATTATTAGGTTGATTTATTTGTGCCAGTCATGACAATAGTTCAATTCATACTCCTGATGGGCTGGATGAAGGTGACCTTCACAATTTTCTTCTTCTTGCTCTTAACGTAATGTGCATTGCAGATTGCAGAAGCTCTTCTGAATCCATTAGGTGAAGATGACGACGATTTTGAATGCAATTTCCTTATTGATAAGAATTTAATTGTAAATCGGAAGATCAGGCAAAACTATTATTTGAAACTTTTTTTATAGACTGGCCTGACCATTGTAGACAAGGCGAGTGATATCAAACCACCGATCATTAAAGATAAATTTATGGATCCAAGATTTTTCCGACCCAGGCGTGGAAATTTGGTGAAAGGTTCTGCAGCAGCAGTGGTGTGAGTCCATCAAGAATTTATTGAACATCAAAAGCATCCTGATAGGAAAAAAGCTCATAAAACTCACGTGCATGACGTATTGCATACGTGAACATCATTTTGAATCCTAATACGCGCAAAAGCGATTATTCAGTCATGAGAGCAATCAGTTTTCTTGTGGCTGTTTCAGGCTTCGAGATTCTGAAGGAAATGAGGGTTCATGCGAAGAGGCAGACTCTAATAAAGATTTGCTGAAAACTAAGAGAGAGCGATTGCGTGAAAGACTTGGAACAATATTCAGGTGACATATATCATGTTTTTCTACATAATTATATTCATTGCATTGAAGTATCAGCAGCCAGGAACACGAGTTCACTCGTACAGGTTCATATAATCGAGGGTACTTCGCGCAAATGTCTCAGATCTCCCGCTATTAAGTGTTATGATATGTTCTCTACAGAAAGAAATCCGACATCTAACTGACGTTTAAGGCTTTGTTTCATTTAAAAAAATGTTCTAATACGCACATGTAATTTTTATTTTATTTCTTTCTCTTATATATGATATTATCAAAAAACAGATGGCACATTGTACAAAGGGATAGTTGGGAAGGCACTCAACAGTTAAGAAGACTATTTTCCATATAGGATGAGTGGAAGACCACAATAAACTACTTGTCAGAATGAAAAAAGATGAGAAAATTATTTCTCTTGAACTGCGCGTGTGCGCGAGCGAATGCGAACCAAACACTGTTCAGCAGAATCAGCACGTTCTTCTGCTGTTTCTAATTGAAGTTGAACTGTGCGGTACTTTCCAAGATGATGGTTTGCTTGCTCTTCCTGAACAGTGATAATTAGATTGTTCATTTTTTGAACCGATGTTTACCGCATCTTCGAGTTGCTTCTTTTGGATTTTGAGCTTAGCGCTCAGTTTTTCAACCAACTCTTGGAGTTTATCATAGTTCTTCTTGTCCTCAGCAACCTGATTCAATGAGCATTGATGAAACATTAGTTTTCAAAACGTACTTGGAATTCGAGCTCTCTAACACGTCTATCGGCACGAGCCAAATTCTTTGAAGCTTCTCCTGATCGTCGAGTCTCACTTTCGAGGTCCGTCTGAAGAGACTTCAGACGTTGCTCAGCCTTCTGAACAGCCTTGGCTCCTCCCTTCATGACGGAAGCTTCAGCTGCATCAGCGCGATCTTGTAAGTCCTAGAATGTTAAATATTATTCTTACTTATCTTTTTATCATAAGCTAGGAATGACGTCAAAGAGTTGAAATAAGAAGAAAGATTGAAAGTGGCATATGATCATTGAGATACTTGATAGTGCGTGGTATTGAAGAAGTCTTTTGTTTGTTTAAGCACTATCCGACATGAAGATAGTTTGAGCTTCAGAGAGGAATGAATGACAAAAGACAAAAAGCTCTTTTCTTGAATTCCAAGAAATATCCCTCTCTAAATATTTTTTAGGCAAGTCAACAGGATTGAGAGAAGATGAAGAGAATAACTGAGAAATTCAGAGAATACATACCTTAACTTGGCTTTCAAGTTGTTTCTTGTATCTCTCAATTTGAAGACTATGGTCTTGTTCATGTCTCAAATCTTCAGCGAGCTTAGCAGCGTCAGTCATAGCGCGTCTTCCGCGTTCCTCAGAAGCCGAAAGTTCAGCTTGAGCCTCAGCAATGTCGCTCTGAAATAAAAACAATGAACTTCAAACCAGTTTTAATGCTCACCTTGAGAAGAGAAATCTCGTTATCGAGTTGGTTTTTGGAAGTAGCCAAAGCAACGTTTTGACTGTTCAGTTCATTGTTCTGTTCTTGGTGTTCCTTTACTGATTGTTCCACAACACGGCGCGCACGCTCAATCTGGAAAAAATACCAATCACATTATCAAAAGCTTCTTTATATCTTACAGCTTCAAGTTTGACAATGAGTTCTTCTTGCTCTTGTTTGGCAACAGCAAGTTTGCGTTCGGAACAAAGAAGATGCTCTCTGAACTCTTCACGTCTCTTTTGTTCTTCATCGATAGTTTGTTGAAGCTCTCTAGTTTGGTCCATATATCTTCGGATATTCTTCTGAGCATCTTCATTGGCTTTGTTGGCATGATCGAGAGCGATCTCAAGCTCATTGATATCGGCCTCCAACTTCTTCTTAACGCGGAACAAATCAGCCTTAGCTTTGCTTTCAGACTCAAGAGTGGCCTAGGAGGTATATCTAATGAAAAATTGGTAACTTGCTCATACTTGAATGGAATCGATGGTTTGCTGGTGAACCTTGCGAGAGTTCTCAAACTCTTCTTCTTTCTCAGCAATACGTTTCTCAATTTCAGCACGAATTTGTTGAACTTCGATGGAGCAGCGGAGGGATTTGCTCTCTTCTGCCTCAAGGGCTGCTTCAGCCTGTTGTTTACATTTACATTTATCACTGTCAAATTTGTTGTTACCTCATCAAGTCCTCTTTGAAGTTCTTCCTTCTCCATTTCAAGGCGGCGGAGTGTCTTCTGTAGAGCATGGGTGGCACGTCCACCTTCCCCAAGCTGTTCAGAAAGATCTCTAACTTCATCGCCAAGGGCTTTATTCTCTCTCTTGAGTCCTTCAACTTGATCAGCCAGAGCATCATGTTGTCCACGAAGCTTATGTGCTTCACCAGCGAGTTGGCGGGCATCACGTTGTGATCCATCAAGCTCGAGATAAAGATCATCAACCTGTAATTGTGGAATTTGTAGATTGTTAGCAAAATGTATTTTACGCGTTTCTTCCATTCGTCGATAACTTTATCGAAAGCTTTTTGCTTCTTTTCCAAGGAGGCGACAGCTTGAGCGTGATGTTCAGCTTCAAGACGGTTGGCGTCAGCTTCGGCGGTTAGTCTAGTATGGCTTGTACAGTAGGAAAGTTAACCTTTTGTCCTACCTGCTACGTGCATTCTCTAAAGCAACTATCTTAGCGTTGCAAGCATCAAGCTGATCTTGAATTTCGCTAGTTTTAGCGTGTTGACGCTTCTTGACTTCATCGAATTCATCGGCTCCAATGAGACCTTCTTCTTCAAACTTAGCTCTCCATTGTTCTAGCTCAACCTGAGCCTTTTGAAGTTGGCGAGTACATTCAGATTTGCCAGCAATCTAAAAATATTTGTTCAGCAATTAAAGATTTGTTCGGAATACCTCGTCCTCAATAGATTCACGGAGTTGTTCTAGCTCACGAGTGAGTGTCTTGGAGAGGTTGCTGAGATTTTGTCGCTCACGGCTTTCATCATCGGCCAAACGCTTAGCTTGATCAAGCTCGTTGGAGAATTGGAGACGAAGACGGGTGGCAGCTTGAATTTTCGACTCAAGCTCTTCGACTTGTCTGCTGAGGTCAGAGTTTTCTGAGTGGAGACGTCCCTTAGATGACACAAAGTCTTGAAGTTGACGACTTTGTTCGTCAGCCTTTAGACGAAGCTCCAACAAACGAACTTCGTGCGATTTAGCAACTCTTTCTTGCTCAGCGCGTGCCTTAGCTTCTAAATCGAGAAGAGTTGAAGCTTCATCAAATTCGCGTTGCATTTGTCCTTTTTCTTTCTCAGAGCGAACTTTCTGCTTCTGTAACTGCTCGACTTGATCGCTTAGTTCTTGAACAGCATCAGCTCCCTTCTTCTTCAAAGAAGCTAATTGCTCTCCGAATTTCAGGGAAGATTCTTCTAAATCACGACGAAGCTTTGCGATTTCCATGTCCTGAATTATTTATAATTATTTTGTTAACTTTTTCATGCCCACTTTTTTCTTTCCAAGCTCGATTTGAGCAGCACAGGCACGACCTTGTTCGTCAAGTTGATCCAAGAGTTCATCGTATTCAGCTTGCTGATCAGCACGAGCACGATCAGCGCGGGAGCGGGCTTCTTTCTCATCAGCGAGCTGATCATGAAGGTCTTTCATCTTGGCTTCATCCTGTTGGATGGATTTCTGGAGCTTGGCAACAGCAGCCTGCTCGTCTTCTAATTTCATACCCAAGTTGTGAAGTTCAGTTTCTTTGCGACGAAGGCTGTTCTCAATATCTGACTTAGCTTTGCTTAGTTCTTCCATCTCTTCCTGAGCTATTTTCAGTTCTCCTTCAGCCTTTCTTTTAGCCTTATCCATATCAGCACGGTTTCTTTTTTCGCGCTCCATTGTGGCTTCGGAATCTTCTAAGGTTTGCATGAGCTTAGCCTTCAACTTGTTAGCAGCCAAATTTTGTTCTTCAGCGGCAGCAAGATCTTCGCTGAGTTTTCTTAAATAATGTTGATCAGAACTAGTTGATTTTATGCAACATACTTGTTAGTTTCTTCCTGATGCTTTCGCTCTTTGTTGAGCTTTGAAATGTTTTCATCTTGCTGACGCATTTCATCTTGCAGGGCCCGGATTTGATGTTCCTTAGCCATTTTTTCAGCTTCAACTTTTCTGAGAGATAAGTCGATGTCCTCAAACAGATATTAACTGAGAAAAAAAGGTAACTCAAAACCTGGCATGTTTTTTTGAGCTCCGCACACTCTTGTTCAACTCTCTTTTTCTCTTTTGTGAGTTCACCAGCTGCAGATTCTTCAGCTTCCAAGCGAGATGTGGCATCCGCTAGCTTGTTTTCAAGGGCAACTTTTTGCTCATTCATCATAGCCATGCGTTCCTCAATTTCCTAGAATGAGTTAACATATGCCATTTAAGTTGTAAAATATCCTTACAGTGTTTGTACCCTTAGTTGCCTCAAGTTGAGCCAGAAGATCAGTTGTTTCCTTTTGCAAACGCTCAGCTCCTTCGCTCAATTGGCGCTTCATTTCTTCTTCTTGTTCCAAAGTAGCCTTGAGAGTTTCAATATCCTCTTGAAGTTTCTCATACTGCTCTTCAATTTTTCCAGAAGCAATGAGTGGCTTGACTTTGCCATAGAGCTTGAACCATGACCACGTTCGGAGGTTAACCCAGTTACGAATGCTTCTCTGAATAACTTTAAGTCCTTCTCTTTGTTCGCCGAGACGTTTCTTGTTGATCTTAAACAAAATTAGAATGAATAAGTCTGTTTTCTGTGTCTTACAAGCTGATAGAAGTAACGAATTTGAGCCTGTAATCCAGTGATGAGCTCAGAGAGACGAGTATCACGCATATCTTCAAGGTGAGCCACAATACCAGCCTAAAAATCTTGTGTCATGAACAAAACTGAGATTATTTCCTCACTTTGAAGAAAACTTTCGTTAATCCAACTCTGAAGTTGTCATCAACCAACTTTTTCTCTTTCACCAAACGACCGAGCATAGCACCTGATGCTTTTTTGGGATCCTCTTTACCAAGGAGAGCTTCATCAGCGGCAAGGATAGCGTAACGCTGGACGAAATCAGGGTGAAGAGTTCTGTTGGGGAATCCCTTGCGGCAAATTCTGATTCCTTCCAACACACCGTTACAAGTAAGCTGATTGAGAACCAAGCTGGCATCAATCATTCCTATCAACAATATAGTTAAACCATCTAGAAGCTTCTGGGAAACCTGATTGTTTTTTCTCATTAGGAATGATACAACGGATGAAATGAGGATGAGTGGAATTCAACATGTTCATCAACTTGTTCAAGGATTCACGGTAAAGCATGGACACTGTCATGAAGGATCCAGATTTACCCTTCTTCTTTCCACCGCCACCTGTAATTATGATTATTTCTCTGCATACTTCTTACTACTCACTCTTGGATTGAGCAACAGCAGCCTCTTCTTGAGTAGTGTAATCTTGCCAGATTTCCACAAGGAGAGCATTTGATTTTGAGTTCTTCATAGTTTGTACAACAGTATCATTGAGAGGGTCCTTGTTTTTCTCGAGCCAATTGCTAACATTGTATCTTACAGTACCAGCATAATGTCTCATGGCGAAGTGAGCTTCGGCTTGCTTTCCTTTTGGTGGTTTGGGCTTCTCAAAGTTAGGATGTTTGCCTAAGTGAGTATCAATCAGCTTAGCAGCAAGGGTAAGATCAGAAGCCTTTGGAACGATACATTCTTCATCGAGCATAGCAATGATTCCCATAGGCTGAAACAATTTAACTATGTAACATCACTGAAATTGATCGCACCTTTTCGATGAGCTCAATACAAGCTTGAAGATCCAAACCGAAGTCAATGAATGTCCACTGAATTCCCTCACGAGCGTATTCTTCTTGCTCCAAAACGAACATATGGTGATTGAAGAACTGTTGAAGTTTCTCGTTAACGAAATTAATCCAAAGTTGTTCGAAAGAGTTGAACTGCAAAATTAAAAGTTCTCTTGAAATTGGATAGAGCACTGACGTCGAAAATTTCAAAACCAGCAATATCAAGAACTCCGATGAAATGATCACGATTAATTCCTTGCTGATCGAGAGTTTGGTTACATTTCTTGACCAACCAGTTGAAGAGTCTAGAGTAGAGACCTTTGGCCATAGCTCCAACGGCCCAGTTGACCTAAATAATTCATGTTTACGTTTTTCTTGCAGCTTTTACTAACTTGCTCCAAGTTTTGTCCTTTGTTGACCCACTCCGATCCAACCTTTACACGAGGGCGAGTCAGAGCCTTCAAGTATTCCTCAGGATCGATACCATACATAGCGGCGGCTTTTTCGGCTTCTATAAACAACTTTAATCATAGAAGAATAAGTAGATGTAAAAACCTTCTGTTCCATCAGTTTCAGCTTGTTCTTCACGAGGGCGTTGCTTGAACTTCATGTTACCCATGTGCATCATAGCCGAAACAAGTTTGTAACATTCCATTTTCTCTTGTGGGGAGAATTTCAAGATATCAAAAGCTTCATCGGTAAGAGCATGCTCTTCCTGTTGAAAGGTTGTTACATTAAACATTTTTTGGATATTTTACCTTATCATTAACTCCATCAATCTTCAACTCAGCTTGAGCGATAAACCAATAGTCTTTAACTGGCTTATCGAGCATCAAATCTTTAATCAAAGTTGGTACGTGACCAGAGAATACTTGGTAGAAAATATGGTAGCAACGCTCTCCTGGAGCTTGGCGGATAACTCGAGACTTTTCGAGAAGATAATGTTCAATATCGCAAGAAGCGACACGTCCCTGCTTTGAGAAATGAATACGAATAAACTTTCCGAAGCGGGAAGAGTTGTTGTTACGCACAGTCTTGGCATTACCTAGAATAATGTAAATTTACCCCCACTATCTACAATAGATTAGTACCAAAAGCTTCGAGTACGGGATTCGTTTGTACGATTTGATCTTCAAGTGTAACTTTCTTTTCGTTTGGATTAGCATCTTTCTTTCCGAAAGTCTCCTGCTGAGAAGCTCCGACGGCGGCAAAGTAAGCAATTACCTTTGAATATCTTGAGTTAGTTAGGTTACGGTAATAGCTCTAACCTTCTTGGTGTTTTCGGTTTTACCGGCTCCAGATTCTCCAGTAATCAACATAGATTGATTTTCATGATTTTGGAGCATGTTACGATAAGCTTCATCAGAAACTGCGAACAAATGAGGAGGCATTTCAGTTCTAATGTTTCAGTTATTTTTGTAAATTTTCAATAGACTGGAAGTATTCTTACCTTCTTTTACCCATATACATTCTAGCAACGGAATCTGTATAGATTGGTAAACGCTTGTATGGATTGATTACAACACAGAAAAGTCCAGAATAAGTCTAGAATTAAACACCTCTGTGGAGTCTTTCTTTTTTTCATTCTGATATTGTTTTTATGCTCTACACTATGCTTCTTTTTCTCAATCATATTCATAATGATAAATCTTTTTGAGCTTTTGTCGAGCCTGCATGAAGAAGTCGTATTTACCTTTTTCTCATATGAAACTTGTTTCTATCACTCACTCTCTCTTCATCTCTCCCTAATTTTCACTTCTAAGACTCGTCTTTATCGTTGCTAACTTCGAAGCGTGCAAACATCTCCGTCGTGAGATCTCTCCGAATCTTTCAATATTTTCTTGAGTACTCTTTCAATATGTTGTAATTTGTCTCACAGAAAAGAAAAAGAGAGACAGATAATTGAAAGAAACTATTTACGCGACTTTGACTAAAGATTGGATAAGTTTTGAAGATTTTCATTATGGATCCTCATTAAAAAAAAAGAACTCACGTAAATAAGCATGGCACCATAACGAGAACGAAGATTCGATAAAACAGAGGCGTCGTTTAAGAAAGTCAAATTTGACATATCTTCGGTTTTTTCGAATTTAGGAGGGTTCATCTCCTGGATCTGATCTGCTTTGAAGGTTTTCTTAAATCTTTTTACTCAAGCGCTATTTAAAGTAAATTATTACCTCATTACCTTGTCCGATGGCAACGATTACCTTATCTCCATCAGTCTTCTTGATAATTCCCTCTACATATCCTTCTTCCTCATCTGGGACCCAGCAGTTCTTCTTGGAATCGTACGGCTTCGACTGGTCCTGTAGCAAATTCGGTTTTCAAAGCAACACAGATTAGTATCAAGAGTGAAAATATCCTCGAAAGTCTCAATTACGAACCTCCAGCATTTGCTCTCTGCTTCTGCGCAGATATTGCCATCCTGGATCGTTCTCGTGGTCCATTGTTGCCTGTAATTAGAAGTTTTCCTCTTTCGGTAATGTTCGGAGACAGAAAAATTACGAGATAAGTCGGAAAAATGAAAAAAACTTTATGGGTTATCGTTCAAGCTAGGCTTATGAGCAGCGGTGTCTGGACGGCACATCGAAGACAGTAGATGACTGTCGCTGTCGGAACAATCCAGTGGGCGGATGATGAGTAGGAGCCGGCTTGAGGATCTCCGGAGGCGGAGCATTCGAACTATCTCGCCCCCATCTTTAACTCAGCAAAGCTAACCGTCAGATAACTTCTACGTCAAACCTACACTCAGAAAAAAGGGATATCATTAAGGGACTTTTACTTGCTGATTGAGATAATGAAAATTAGTATCTTACGTGAGCAACTCAAATCCTCCAAAACAAAAGAAGTTTGAGAAACATGGACACTATGGTAGCTGTTAGAAAATGGTAGCTTAGTTAGTTATAGTAGTTTTGGGATATGTTCAGCGATGTTGCCAAAAAGTTTTCTCAGAAAAAATAAAAAGCCATAAAGTTCTTTTACCTCGTTCGACACTCCAAGTGAAGCGGCTCCGCTCACAATGAGGATTTGAGCAAATATGAAATCCTGTGTGTATCTTCGAGTTTGTCTTTTAGCGATATACTCTCTGCAGATTTGCTAGTTCATTTAAGATTTTTCTTCTTCACTCTCTTCAAGCTCATAAGCATCTACCATGAACTGTTAGAAATATCATTCCCTGATCAGCTGCCAATACTCTTCGTCCTCATTCCTATTTTTCTCTTCTCTACTTTCTATTCTATTCTACCATTGTCTCACGAGTGATTCTCATTTCCCCATCTTCTGAAGCCTCTTTCAAATTTTCTACAGGTATTAAAATGATTCATGAAACTTTCCTTGGTGATTGACACAGTGAACACAAAGTCATAACTAATAAAAAAAATTATAACTCCAGTGTGCCCTATCTGCTACCACTCCAGAACTAACGCCCAACTTCATAATTTTATCACAGCTGATTCCGGAATTTTTTCAAACTTTATTTCAGCTATGCTTGAGCAGCAAGAGATAAATGTCCCTACTAGATAAATAGACCCTGGTTATCAGAATGGTTTATGGAAGGAGCTGAATAAAATGACTTTTATGGGTTCTTATGACATAGAAAGCTTAGTTCAAACCTGACAATATATGTCTGGCAAAGATAAGAAACAGTGATTATTCATTTATTGTATTTTCATCTAAGCATTTCTGTCTACATTCTGTCATTCAAAACGACATGAAACCGAAAATGAGAATAATCAGGTCTCCTTGTTCTCTTATCTGCAACAACACATTCATCGCCAAGTGAAAACGAAAAAAAACAAAAATATAACTAGGAGATAAACAATGTCCTGGCAAGTATCCATACCTTCAATGAAAACTCTGAAACTTATATTACTCGAACAGAAAGTGTTGGAAGACAACTTACAAGGTTAATCTATCAAATGTAGTATACTTCTTTGTTTCGGATAGCACGGGTAGGTTTTCAAAGCTTGTGATCGAATGAGTTAATGATAATATCATTAGGATTATCTTCATCATCAGAGCTAAGCGTCTCGTTGATGTGAGAGTTCGCATTGACAAGCTGAATTACCTCTGCTGGTAGGCACGCTCGATAAGCCTAAAAAAAGGTTCAAGCCTCTGAATAGTTAAATACCAGGTATGCAAGCATTGTGAAAATGATAAAACCAGCAAGAGCAGATCCTACAATAATTGGAACCAAATCAGCTTGGTGTTGGTCATTCGGGCACACAATTTCTGAATAAAAATATGAGTGCACCTGATTGAACAGCATTACTAACTTGCTCCAAATGCTGAAGATGAGGCATAGCTAACCGAATGGATATAAGCTTGGACTTGAAGTAAAGAAAACGTTATCCTATGAATAATAGTTAGAAGTTAAAAAAATGTTTTTCGTACGATGCTTCCGGTCCGAAATCAGCATTGGAATTAATCATATACAATTGTTTGCTTGGACAATATAAGGATGTATCAACAGTTGAATACAAGCTATCTGCTATGTCATTCTTTCCTCCTAAGTCTATCAAATTTACATAAACATGAGAAGTGTCTAAAACAAGAAATCAAAACGATCTAATATGATGACAGAACCTGCGGAGTTAGGAAACATGTCAGGCAATGACGAATAATTTGCATAAACTTCAATTTGGTAAAGTGCCCATTCCTTTTCATCATTAGTTTGTAACCTAGCATCTTTCGTGAAGTAGAATTTCAGTGTCCATCCAGGCATCTGAACATAAGAGTATGCTTATTATAGAATGCGCGTAATACCTTGTACAAGTCCAGTTGGAGTAACTGGCTTTCAATTATATTATTATTAACGATGTTGTTGACTTTGCAACTGCTTTGCGAACTGACTGTTGATTCCTTCGGAACCATAATTGTGACATCTTCCTAAAATGTTATTCTTATCCGTAGTACTATCTCGTTAAGCAGGTGAAAAGGTTTATTTTTAAAAGTGTGTGAAGGCGCAGTGGCTGGTTGAAAAACAGATAAAAAGTGATTATGAACTCACTGTGACTTCGGTAAATTTAACAAGATAAGTTAATCTTAAATCTAACTGAGCGGTTAAAGCTACACATGGAATGTTTGAGTTTGTATCAACAACCTGAAAATAATGAACTTCGAAAAAAAAATTCTTCACTTGTTCTCACCTTCCATTGCCCTCTATGGTTTCCACTACTCCCGTCTGCTTCGATCAGAATTATCAACATGAAGTCTGAGAGAAACATTAAATTATATTCTCAAATAACATACTTACAAAATAATATGAAACATGTTAGCTTATGGCAAATCATTCCTCTCCAGCTTAAAAAAACCAATGAATTCTTTCCATATAATTATTTCTATACTTCTGGCCACAAAAGGAAGGTATCGTTACGGAGGAACTTTTTATAATGCTGAGCGATAAGATAAAGATAGACGTTATATACTTATTCCGTAGGCAATCGACTTTTGTTTGAAAACTTTTTAAATTGGCTGTATCAGGACATCAAACTAGATGTATTTCATCTGCGATGTTTATTTTTTATTTTTTTGTGAAGCAGATTATGAAATTATCAATTCGCTGAGAAGTTTGTAATTCAATGTCTAAGAAATTCAATAGTTTTATCTCATTCCCAAGAGAGATCGACGCTACAAACTATTTGGTGAATTTGCACCGGAAGCATTTGCGAATGCCTCGTCCTTCGATTGCTTCTGAAAAATTAGAGCTTAGAGCTTTGAACTGATCATCGGAATTTTAGATGGCGTGCTTATTGATTGAAGTTCTTTTACTTCATTACTCACAGCAACTGAGACATTTAATAAATGAAATATTTCGGTTTCGACAAAGGTGGTGAAAGGATTTTCGAGTCTGCGTAATGAAAGATAGGAATTCAAAACAGACATAGTTGAGAAGAAACATCTGATTTCATATGATTAACAGTTGGAAATAAAAAGGCTTAGACAATTTACTGCAAAAACATTTCCTTTTCTACTCGAAGACAAAGTTTTTCAGATTTTCTTCTTAATAAATTGTATTAATATATGGAACACTTGGAAATAGTTTGTGAGAAGAATTCGACAATTTTCAAATCGAATTCTCAGTTTAACAAGGCAGGAGAAACTTCATCAAAATGTCTGATCTTTCATGGTTTCTATTTTTTGAAACTTTTCCATGTCAAAGGAAAGTAAGTAGATTGATAGAAGAATAGTGAGGTTTTATACGTTTCTTCAAGTTTCCAAGTTTCTCAATTTGAAGATTATTCTTTGAACGCGAAACACTTTTGAAATTGAATAAGCATTCCAAGGATGGTTCAAAAAGCATATTTTTCAATGATTTTTTCTTTTTTAATTTGAGATTTGTTTTGTATATTGACGTACAGAGTAAACTGTTGCTGTCATATCTTCATACCTAATATTCTTTAGAGTAAAGTATTATTTGAAAGTGCTTCGTGTTTTCATTGAAGAACAACCAATATTCAACACTCACTTACATGAGCTTCTATCTCTTACGAGAGGCATTATAGAAGCTTCTCAATTTGCCCTAGAAATGACCTGTCCCCTTATTTTCTATATCCTTTCCAGGATCTACGAGTTATACACTAGGTATTACCACTTCCTCATTTCTAAGCAGTTATATGTTTTTTTAAAAACAATTTCCCCACAATCTATGAATGCTCTAAGATTCTACTCATCTAGTCATTAGCGTCATCAAATCCAATTACTGAGGCAGTTGTTTCAATCTTTCAAAGTTGTTAGGCGTGAAATTCAACTGAAATCGTTGTTTCTTCCCATTTAATTTTTTTTTACATGCTCATTCATAAGTATTCTTAATTATGTGAAAAAACTGATAAAGAGTTGCTATAAGTTGTTTGCTGAAAAGTTTTAGGGAAAAACTTTCCATAATATTCTGTTTTGGCCCTTTTTCCTATATTTTCGTTCATCGCTTGTTCTTGAAGCTTATTTATCCTCTCTCCAATTTGTTTTAATGATTATAATATTCAATATGTTCTTTACCATTTTCATTGTTTATATACGTCGCTATGAGGTTCAAACAAGTTTCATGCAAATTTTTACAATGATCTTCAGTATCTCCATACCACGTATGATATGCTAATTAGAGAAGGCTACGTTCATTCATAACTATTATTCATAATTCTCGCTGCTTACAGAACGGTTGAGTTTCATAACAATCTGTTTTTATACAAAGAAAGCTATTATATACAACCTTCTTTCGATTTTCGGAACGAAAAAAAGATAAGTGAAGCTTTTGGAATTATAAGTCCACCCAGTATTATGAAAACAGAACCATAGAATGAATGTTATCGATACATAAGCACAGTAGAACCGTTTTTCTCTCCGAAGAATTTTTTTTACATTACCGATCTACAGAAAGTGCAGTATTGAAGTTTATTCGTTACAAGTTTTGACAGTTTTCCCAAAATTCTTGAGGGACTGTGATTAAATTTCTTCATCAAGCTAAAATTAATTTTTTTCTACAAAGGTCTTTGTCTTGCTCACGGAAAACAGCAAATATGAAACCATACATCAAAAATCTATTCTATATCCATGAAATCCACTGAACTTTAGACAACTTCTGCTCTACGTTTTTAATAGAGTGTTGAAGTTCAATGCATTGCTCACCTTCAGAAGATGAGAAGAATTCTGTCTACTATCCACTTTTCCTTCATATTTCCACACTCCATGAGTTCCACTCGGTTTTAATTCAAGAATTCAAAGTGAAAGACATCCGGATTGAAGCACAGTTGGTTGATCAACTCACTAACCAAAGACCTGAAGTGAACTGAGATAGGAATTCTTACCTCATCATCCCTTTCATCTGTTTCATAACTTTCCAGCATTACTTCAAGATGTCTGCACCCATCTTCCCATTATACTCTTTTACTTCTCATCCTCCTATTTTTTTTCTTTCGTTTGCCTTTGCTCTTTCTCTGTCTCCACCACTCTCTGTCTCTTACCACCAATATCTCTCACTTTACTATTTTGCTTAATTCTCTTTTTTGTTTTTTGAAGCTGAATTATTCATATTCAAAGGGCACAAAATCTGAGAATCTACGTATCTAGAAGAAAAAACTCTTTCTCCTCCATATTTCCTATTAAAATAAAGTAATTCTTTACTCGAGAAATTGAATTCTTCTTGACAATTTAGTTCAATCACACTTTGATGTTTCTTATAAGAACATTTTCTTTCTAACAAATCTTATGGAATTGACCTGAATTCGATTTATTTTCAAAATCTCTCTCCTAATTATCATTTTTAATCATTTCCCTGACTAATGTTTAATCAACTTTTCCGTCCGAGCAATCGTTGCCCTCAACTTCTTTATTCCTCGAAGATGTCATTTAAACTAAAGAAAACTTATTCCTCTGTTTTTCTTTACAATTCTGACAACTTTTCATCTTAAGGTTTTTTCAAAAACAATTGCTTCTTATCAAAAAAATGAAAATGCTAATGGCATGGCATGTTCTCTCCCAAACTTACATTCCGGAGTTATTCTCCGCTGATAGAACGAAAGTTTCTCGTTTAAAATAAAAAATCTAAAATTGATGACGTAAAGAGCCATTAAATATAAAAATCTTAATTTCATTTCTCCCACTCTTATTTCTTTACTTCTCCTCCCTCCCGTTCATTTTCTCTCTTCGTCTCCTGTGCTTAGTTTCAATCTTTTGAAGATCATAAGCCTTTTATATTCACATCCGGAACACTTTCTTTTCCATCATCTCCTGTCTTCTCTCTCTTCTCGATGCAACTTTTTTATGAAATCATCCATAAGATTCAACTAATTTTTTTACGTTTTTTGTTGCCATGTAAACCATTCACATATAAACACAGACCTCAAGACATTTTTTCAACAACCTCAGTAATCAAGCAAATTGACGAAATCAAATACTGAACAGCGTATTCTTTGACTTTTTTCTCAACATTGCCGTGTTAAAATCTCAGAATTATTCAAAGGTGTTGCGTGGAAGTGAGAACTGACTCGATAACTTGATCTTTAAATCATGATTTTCTTCTTCCTTTTTCGGTTCATTCAGTTCATATGGGTTCCTTCAAACCACACATTTGCATTTGGTTCACACGTTTTTCATTATAAAAAGGTGATCGAAAAGTTGACTCACTCTACTTTACAATTACGAAAATGAAAAATAAAATGAAAACAATTGGATTTTCCTCTTTTTTATCCAGTTTTTGGAACTCTCATAAGCAACACAAACAATTTGAAGCATAAACTTGTGTTTTTGTTCGTTATTTTTTGTAGTGCTGACCTTAAAGCTCACATTTTTTGTTCAATTTCTCATTTTCAGAATGGAAGGAGATCAAATATGGGATAATATGAATGAAAGCTTGGATTCTTACGAAGTATCTTGATTAGTTGTCATTCTTTCATCATTTTTTTTAAGAATTATGATGATGTTTTGCTTCATGATCCTCTTGTCCAATGGACAACCATATTAGTCGCAGCTATTTATATTTTGACGATGATTATTGGAATTCCGGCCAATATCTATGTCCTTCACCGCATGCGAAGATTAGCAAAGTACGTTATTCTCAGTTTATTTTTCCTCAGAATTCTTACATTTCAAAAATTAGTGAATAGCAGTCATTCTCCTAACTTTTTGGAAGCGAAAAAAATGGGCATAAATTTATTCTGTGAAATAATACAATTTACTGAATATTGCAACCTTCTTGCACATCTATCGTAAACAAAATGATTATTTTTGGCTCTGTGCGTGTACAAGTGAAGTTGCTTAATTAGCATAAATATCTGCATATCACTATATTCAGCTGAACTGTGCAATAAACAAATCTATTTAGAAGTGACGTGGAGAGATATCGTAATGGAACTGGCATAGCTCTCTGCTCTATGTCAGCAGCGGATTTGTGTTCATTACTATTAATTTTCAGCCAAAATATTCACCAATCTTTTGCCAGTGAATCCAACAGTCAGATAATGCACTTGACTTGCAAGGTAGTTCATAATTCGTAATAATATACATCAAATTCCGTGAAATCTTTCACATTTCTGTAGTTCCGATTCTTTCCATTTGATCGTTTTCTTCACTTTTTTTTTGTTGAACCTTACAGGTGAAGCGTCATAACTCTCAGAAGTGAATACCGAATTATTTAACACTTCGCGAAGCATAACAGTAGAGAACAAAATGTACACATTACACGTAGAGTTTTGTAGGCGATGCTGTTTTTAACACACACTGTCACGGGAATTTCAATTTGGTCTTGGCTTCTGTTATCTTCGCTGAGATATTTAGCCATTTGTCATCCGCTTTATCACCTCCGTTTGTGGCAGATGCCGTACAGAGCCCTCGCGTTCATTATAGTAAGTTTTCTATTTCTGGTGTTTGTACATTGAAAATAATTTTTAATGGAAAACAAGTGTCAGTAAAGAAAATATATGTAGGAGTCAAATGCAAATTTATTTCTCAGATGATGTCAATTCTGTTGAATTTATGGTTGCTTGTCGCTGTGGAATCTACTCCTTTCGGATGCACGCAGGTAAGAGAGTTAGCATTTATATATATATATGATATTAATCATCATAGGTTCTACTAATTCGTGATTCGATGACTCCAAACCGTCTGTTTCATTTGGTTGAAATGATTTGGTCCTTCTGTATTCCACTAGCCGTGATAGTCATTATGGATACAAGTGTTCTAATCAAACGAACGTTAGTCCTTAGTTTTTTTTACGATTGAATCATTTTTGATGAAAGAATTCTTGAACGAAATAGAATCAAACTTGTGGCTGTCCCTTATATTCTTCTTCTGGGAATTTCGGGGGCCGAGATTTCTAAGGCAATCGTGAGCTTTCCTTAAAGATAAAACCCTCGAGACTCATCCTCTGTCTTATGACCATGTATAGTCATTTTCTAACAATTTATGTTTGTTTCAGCTCGTTCCCACGTTGGATCCGTCAAAAGCATAGAAGGAAATCGGCTCTGGAAGAGATTATAAAGCTTACACGTAGTACCAGTATGCGTTTGAAAGTAAGTTACACGAAATGATTGAGACGAAGATTATGAACAATGCAGTGCAGTAAATTAATAATGTAAAAAAGGCAACCGTTGATATAGTTCCAGCATAGACATCAGAAGGCTTTGTGGAAATGGTTGATAATCGCACTTATCTGCATTCTACTCAATGCCCCTGAGAATATATATCGCCTTGTTATGCTTTTCTCAATCTCAGCATTCACAGAGGAAGAGGATGCGCTACACTACTCGGCAAGAATGGTAGCGCAATCCTTCTATTTTAGGTTTGATTCTGAAATAAAATTGAACAACCAGATATCGTTTTAGTCAGTTTGCCTTCAACGCGATCTATCTCTCAGTTTTCGTTTATGATAAAAGTACGAGATGCAAAACAGATACTTTTCCTAACAATAACTCAGGTTTCTTCTTAAACTAACGAAACATTAGCGAAAACATTGTTTCAGTGAATCTGCCAATTCGAAGCCGTCATTCATCTCATTCCGAACTAGAAATAGCATCAGCTGGATCTCTCAAGCGACTCCTGCAAGGAGATGTGAAAATAGCACGAGTATAAAATTAATCTCAGCAACTCAGTGATCTCAACTCTCGGGTGAAAACATCTTTCTCAATGTACATAAATGAAATCTTATATGAATTCAACGTTTTACTCTTACCACCCATTGAAAGTAGCAACAATACAAAATTCGTGAAGGTTTCTCTCATAAACAAATCAAACTTTCTGTTAAAATAAAACGGAAAATAAATTAATGAACATGACAATGACATTTGCTTAAGCTTCGCTGCTGATTCTGTCGAACAATTCTTCCTTAGCAAGTAGATCTTTAGTGAAAGCATTTTCACTGTGAGAATCTTTCAACTGAGCGATATATCTATTGGTGACCTGAAACAAAATAATGAAATTACACTGAAACGAATAAGTTTTTTACCTCATCTCCTTTTCCTAGTTGTTGGCTCACTACAATAAGATTAATCAAAGCTTCTGAATTATTTGGATCTCTCGTTTGAGCTTCCTACGTAAACAATACGCAAATGATGAGGATTATGAGAACGAACCTGAAGCAATTTCTCTGCTTCTTCGTATTTTTCTTGCATAATTAAAACAGAAGCTTGGTTAACGAGCAGCAAAACAGTCTGTCCATATTTATCCATCATTTCTTGGAAAATATAGAAAGCTTCTTTCAATTTATCCTTTCCCTGAATAAGGAGAGCATAGAAATTGCAAAACGATAAACTAACTAACCACCGCCATATTAACCCATGCTAACGATAGTTGAGTAATCGTAGCATCTTCATCTACTTCTGTCATTTGCTTCAAATATTGACTGAAGACATTGGGATGAATAACATATACACACAAACATTCGTTACATGGCTTGATCTATCCTGTCCATTCTTAGCAATGTAGAAACAACAGCTGATTTCGCGAAAAGAGAATCATTAATTTTGAACAGAGCACGGAGAGCGTCTTCTGAGTTCTTCAATAAAATTAAATAAGAACAATACATTTTGATGAAGCGAGAAAAACAGAGAAAAACAACTAATACGAACGCCCGACTGATTCAGTATAGCTGCAGAAACAACAGCGTTGATCTCGTCAGCTACAAAATTTCCGGTGCTGATTTCGTTTTCAATCTCAGATACGACTTTAGCTCTAAAGCTTTCGATTAGATTTGTGAGATAAAAATTGAAACCTTTTGTTTGAGTTCTTGAATTCAGCCATTCGACGAACAGCTTTGTATGCAATATTGGTTGTACTTTGTGGCAGTTCGGAGAGAGGAATAGAGCCCTTCCCTTGTTCGATATAAGAGAGATACATGAAAACATCTTTCCTCACTTTCTCTTCCTCATTTTTTGTTTGAAACTTCTGTAAAAGGAGCTGGTTTAAGCCTTCTCAAACAACATACAGTTGCTTCATTAATGCATTGCTGGTAATTTCCGAGAAAGTAAGAGTTAGTGATATCAAACAAGCGATCGACCGACATCTGAAAGTTGCATTTTAATAAAGTAACGATCAAGTTTCAAGTTCAAAATTGCTGAAAATATAGGAAGATTGATTGAGAAAGACACGTATTGGAGAGTATACGTAATACAAATGTAACGACGTGTGATCGCGTACGAAAAAAAAAATTCCTCATAGATTAGTAAACCTTGTATTTCAAGCCAACAAATAATAACAACATATGTCAAATGAGAACAACAGTCACCTAATTATTACTAATTCTATCATCTATGAAAATTTATGCCCTTTTCCCGTTCAATTTTTTTATGGCTTTCTTGGGAATCCGATCGAAAACTAAAAATCCTCCATTTCTCTCAATCAACTCCAGAGGAACAAAAAATGATGTTAGAGGAACCTCATCTGGGATCACCTTAAAAGGTTAAAATTATAAATCACTATGTGGAGGATATGTGACTTCATTGGGCAAAACAAAACATTCCATTTCAAATTGGCCAATCGAAGTTTCAGACAGTAAGACTTTGAAAAAGTGTGTTGGAACAGCGACGTGGTTTTTCCCGATCAGCTATAGATACAACAAAAAGTTATAATCTAAAAAAAGAGTTCTCGCCTTGTATTTCACGTATAAATTTCCATCGTTCTCCTTACGAGGGAGATAAAGAGGTCCCGTGAGTATATAAGTATTCAAACTTTTTTTAGCAGTCTTTCTAAATTCGAAAGAAATTCTTTAGACGTCATGAATTTATTGCAAAACCTAGCATGTTTCTCAAGTTCATTCCATTTATCTCTGTTGAATCCTTTTCCGACCTGGAAAATTCTTAATTGCATTATACAACTTAGTTACCTGAGGAGACATGTTAGTTAGGAAAAACGTTTGGTCGATTGCAGATTGCGATTTTCTATGATTACCAGCAGCAGCTAAATGACCACGATCATATCCACTTCCCTTTAACGAATACGCATTGTTTTAAAAGTAATGAGTTTCACCTTATAATCCTCGTTTTGAGATTGAAAATATTTATGTAAACTTTCATCAGGCCTAAACTGACATAATGATCTATTTACTTGAGGATCATACGTAAGACTTTCAGGAGTGAGGTGTTCACAAACCTAAAAAAAAATGTTTCGAAAACAATTGAGATGACTTACCCAATGCGCAGTTTTTGTTTTTCTGTCATAGGACAATACGAAGTCTTCGAAAGAACGCAAGTTGTCAAAACCTGGATATCCATATTTCATGATTTGAGAAGCTCTTGAAACGCTAACGTCTTTGGAGTCGTTCAGAGGGACAGTGTTCATATAAGGAAGATTCTATTTTATTCTAAATTTTCAAAAATAATCACAAATTTACCGTTAAAGCAGTGGCATCAGCTTCAACATTTCGGAACGGCTTGAACTCTTTTCCATATTGAGTACCCAGTAGAAAAGAGCCAGTAGCAATAAGGCTTCCGCCTCCAACTTTTAAAAAATTCATTCCTGAATAATTAATTAGTTTTGAGAGTTAGCGAAAACAAAAAGAGGAATTGAAACATAGAAAAGTTCATAATGTCAGGTCATGTTTGAACCGTGCTCGATTGCGCTATGCAGCGTCTACAGTATACGGTGGCTTTTAAATGAACAGGTGGGGAAGAGGCTAAAGCGCTCTGCTCTGTTTTTGTTTATCAGCTAAATCTTATTCGCAATTTGTACTTCTTACATATTTCCCGGAGATCAGTTTCAATTATATTTTGCATGCGTAATTATACGTTTTCTTCATTTCTTCTAGCCAACCTTGCTTTATTTTTATTCATTTGACATCATTGCAAATAAACCCAAGTTATTGATAAGTGAATTATTTAACGATCAATAGATTAATCATGGCTGTTCGCTATTGAGCTTTGTTTTATTCAGTTAAGGGTGCCCGTCAAACGATGTTAGTTTTCAAAATCGAATTTTCATAGACTTGTGGCCTTTGTGTCAAAATTAGCTAAGCGATGCTAGTCTCGAGCACGTCATCTAATTCCCCTGTGACCATTCTCGTTTGCCAGGCGAACCACGCCTTCTAACATCCATTCCTTGATCAAAACTTTTCTAAAAACAAATGCTCTATCTTTAGATTTCATTTCCTCCTTTTTCTGTGTTGTTCTGTTACCAAGATTTCTATCTTAGCTTTCTCCAGATTTGAGTCTTCCTTGGGGAAAACCTTGGTGTAAAAGTTGTCATGGCCGATGTGGCCGCACCTTCACCATGGCATGTTCCGGGAAACGGAGTTTCCAATGAGCCGTCCAGGTGTTTCATACGGACTGTTTCATAATTTTTTGAGTCGTTTTTAGTTCAAACTGGGATGCGGTTCCTCCTGAAGTTGCACAACTAGCCACCAAGTACGTATATTCTATCGGAGATGAGAGGAGCGTTCAGAAAGAGGTTAAACTTTATATCTTATTCTGCTTCACATACTATTTTCGCAGGTTATCGAGCTGAAAAAAATTATTAGATCCAAACTTAGTAAGCAAATGCGGATAAAAGCGGGATATGTTCAGATGCAGGTTTGGAAGTATTAGCTTGCTTCTGACAAAGTTTGATTTTAGAAAGCTACAAGTGCCAAGAAACAGGGCGAATGTTTGAAGCGGGAAGTTCGTGATTTGAGTGACTTGATCAGCGATATGCAAGATGATCTTCAAATTCTGGACATGTACGACACAGGAGCTTTTGGTTTGTATTTTATTTTCTCCACTTCTCTTCGTTTCTTTCTGTATGTAAGAGATTCAGTCAGAGCATCGATGATGCCTCTCTCTTGGGATTCGACTTAGCATAATCTAAGCTTCTTTTTAAGTCAGATTGCTATAAATCTGATAGTTGCTCACTTGTTCTGAGTGTCCTTAGTGTTATTTGTTGCTAAATGCATTCGTCTACGTTTTGGGAGTATAGTTTGAACGAAATACGCAAGTCTACATGTTAAGTGCAGCTCATCATCAATTTTCACCTTGTGTGCGTTCGAGTTGTATTTGCTTTATAGACTCGCTCTGGTCTACAAATGCGATTAGCGATGGTCATTCCGATCATTGTTTCTCGTGATTGCGTACCAAAAATTTCATTTTTTTGAACTTATTCTGAACGCATGTATTCATAGGCGTTTTTCAGAAAAAAAGGCATTTCCTCAATGTGATAGTACTTTTGTGATAAGAATGCTAGTTTTTCTCAAAGAAATGTTTTCTCACCTGGGTGTTAAATGAGGTGGAAGCTTTCGGAACTCTGTTGAGTTCCTTTGGCCGACTGTTTGATCGCACGTCTTCTGTAAATATACCGAAGATTTTCAAATGGTCCTATACCAGATCGGAGGATGCATATGTCAGGGGTGGGGGATATATTTCCAATCTTTGACAGAAATTTCAACACTTTTTCAACATATTTTCCATGAAACGATGAAGAATATCATAAATGTTTAGATGACGATGATGGGGTAGAGGCCGATTCAGTTTCTGGTGGCTCACCTACAATTACACCGAGTGGGCCTCAAGATGTTGCTGCTTCGACGGTTTCTCAAAATCCCAGATTGACAAGCTTGCATGTAAAAATTAATATTTTACAATTCGAAAATTTTGTTGTTCCAGAAAGACTTGCATAAAGAGCTGAAAGTTAAAGAAGGATTAGAGAAATTCATGTCAACTGACACAACAGCGAGTAGGATACATGGAGATGATACTAGAAATATGCTTGAGGTATCTTTGTTTAAAAAGGCGAAGTAAGATATTGGTGGGCTTCAGGATAGTAAAGCAAAAATTGCTTTTCTGCGGATGCAAATTGAGAAACTAAATCGTCTAGAACAAGAACTTGAGAGTGGAGGTAATTCCATTAAATGCTCCACTTCTTTATTTCTTTTCACCAACAGAGAGTCGAAGCTCACAAGATTTGGCGATTGATGACATTCTGTTTCGTTGGAGAAAAGAGCTAGTTATGGTGGATGGAACTAAGAACATGCTGAAAACTTTGAAAGGGCAAAAGAAGACTGATCCCAAGACTCTACACGATGTGAGTTCAAATTCGATTTCACTCAGGCTTTTACACGATTATAGGCCTATCAATCTCTGATTCTATCCGAAGAAAAACTCGATTTGATTAAGATGGCTTTCAAGAAGTATATGTAAGTTTAAGTTTTGAACAAATATTTCACAATTTCGTCACAGAGACTTATTACCTCCTGACGCAGAAAAACGAAGAGAGCTGATTGATGAGCTGGAAGAGCTGCCAGGGTCTCCACATCACAGAATATCGGAACGTTTTAGTCCACCGGGCTCAGTACCCAGCAGCCCACTAAACGTGAGCTTGCTTACGATATTCAGAAGAAAGTTCAATATTGCAGGAAAGTCCTTCTCGAACATCTAGTCTTCCTAGAAATTTGTATGGCCGTCGATTGAGTATCGTTCCAACATCAATAGCTGTCAGCGGACGTTTAGAGGTGTTAATTGCAGAATACGAGTTTATGTTTTTGGTTCTTCTAGATAAGAATAATGGGTTGTCAAAATTTGATATCTGAAGTTGTGCAGCGTACTGCTCGAGCTGAAGCCTTGGGAGTAACAGTATCTAGCGGCTTGAGCTCAGACTACAGTGGGAGAAGCAAGGGACGTCAAGGAACCGGACGAGGAGTTAGGTACGCATGGCTTTTTTCTCTACAATTTCACGGGAAATTGAGGGCTTGTTCTTAGATCAAATCAATTTACTCGAGTCAGCGCATGGTGCACATCTAACTCGTCGGATAGTCCAGGCGCTGGTGGTCTACCACCACCGTATAGATATGCTGAACATGCGCTTTCACGTCGAGAACTACAACATCATCGCACAACTTCACTTCCTCCTAATGCAAAGTAAATATTGTGTACGAACCACTATCAGTTTCACATTAACGTCTTAACGAGTATGATTGAGTTTTAACATGCTGACTAAAAAATTAACAAAATACTATTTGATATATGAGTAGTCTTTGAAGAAACTGAAAAGAAAGAGTCTGAAAATTTATTTTTCAGCTTGTCCGGGAAACCATCAAATGGTGATGAAGTTATGGCAATCCTTCGCGTTGACGGAAAAATCGTTGGTCAGACAGATGCTCGTCCTATTTCGAAAGAAGCTTGGAATCAAAGATTCGATGTAGAGCTGGATAGGGTAGTTTCTCTTAGTTTCGTTGATAAATGCATCTCATGTTGCAGTCCAAAGAGCTTGAAATAGAAATATTCTATAAGGACGCTAGATCCATGTGTGCTTTCGCTGTCGTCAAACTTGGAAACTTTATTGAGCAAACGGGAAATGCTGGAATAGTAATGAGTTTGGAACCGCGAGGAGACTTGTTTGCAGAGGTATGTAATGTGTCGTTCAGAGTGTTAAATTAATGTTTCAAGTTCAAATATCTCAATCCAGTAGTTAGCCGTAAACCTAAACTGGAACGACAGAAAAGACTCTTCAAAGTTAAAGGTAAAGTTTTTCTCGTAGTGTTACATATTCTATTCTTCTTTAGAAAGAAATATTGCGGGAGCCAAGAAGCAATTAGGAGTTCATGCCTTGTCACGGATGCTTAGAGGAAGAGACAATGAACCTATTGTTAATTATGGCACCCCTAATAACAACGGTACCTAACTGAGACGGACAGTTGGCTGTGAAACTTTTTTTGTTACAGCTCTTGGCTCTCGGATCACCAAGGCCAGCTATAGAATGGGAGCTGAAAAATCAAACAACTTTGGAAACGAGTCGCCAAAGTAAGTTTACTACAGTTTCATGATTAATTACTATGGTTTTGAAGGAGCGCGATGAGCTATTCAGCTTTCGGACAGATTCCTACCACAAAACCACCACCGTTCAAGCAACAACAAAGCGTAACAACATTCAATCTTGATGAGATAAAAACCGCAATTCCGACCGAGCGCCGGCAGTCTACGCCTGCCCCGAATATGTCTCATCAGTCTCGTTCCCAAGATACAGAAGCGTTTAATCCGAAAGTTCCAACTAGAGTTCTATCTATTGGTTTCGCTAATTCTAAATCAGGAAAATCAATGAATGTTGGTATCGATAAGTTCCGATTGATCAGCGTGCTTGGTCGTGGTCATTTTGGAAAAGTATGTTTTTTTCATAGTTGCCCTGATAGACTCATCTTTTTTAGGTTATACTCGCTCAGTATAAGCCAACAAATGGGTACTATGCTCTTAAAATCTTGAAAAAAGGAGATATCTTAGGAAGAGATGAAGTAGAGTCTTTAATGGTGGAAAAACGAATTTTCGAGGTTTTTAAAGATGAATATGACCATTACCAATATTTTTTAGGTTGCTTCTCGGGCAAAACATCCGTTCCTTGTCAATCTTTTTGCTTGTTTCCAAACAACAGAGCATGTGTTTTTTGTAATGGAATATAGTATGGGAGGAGATTTGATGCGACATATCCACGACGACATCTTCTCTGAGGAACGTAGTTGCTTCTATGCTGCATGTGTCCTTCTTGGACTAGAGTTCCTTCATAAAAATAATATCATCTACAGGTAACACTGCTTTTTCATGCACTTTCAGTTGTTAATTTTAAGAGATTTAAAACTTGATAACCTGCTTCTCGACAGCGAGGGTTACGTTAAACTGGCTGACTTTGGGCTGTGCAAGGAAGGAATGGGTGCATCGGACCGTACAAGCACATTTTGTGGAACACCAGAATTTTTAGCGCGTATCGTCTTTATAATTCTTCCTTCCACTGATGATTGTATTATAGCTGAAGTTCTTACTGAGTCTTCCTACACAAGAGCTATCGACTGGTGGGGATTAGGAGTTTTAATCTTCGAAATGCTCGTTGGGGAACCTCCATTCAGCGGAGAAGATGAAGAAGAAATTTTCGACAGTATTGTTAATGATGATGTTCGGTATCCTCGGTTTTTATCAATCGAAAGCATATCTATAATGAGAAGGGTCTGTTATATTCTTGAATTCAAAAAGTCTTGTTGTATTTTAAGTTAATGCGTAAGAATCCTGAGAAAAGATTAGGTGCCGGTGATAAAGACGCAGAAGAAGTGAAAAATCAACGTTTCTTCAAAGTAAGTTATGAAGCTCTCGGAGATCAATAATTTTCTCTCGACAGCATATCAATTGGGAATGGGATCGCCTGCTTTCGAAAGAAATCAAGCCGAAGTTTGTGCCTACGATAGTGAGTTGACGAGTTTTTGAGTTACTTTCATTTTGTTTTTCAGAAAAACCCTGAAGACGTTTCCAATTTTGACGACGAGTTTACTTCAGAGAAACCTCGATACTCTTCAGCTAAGGACAAACATGTCATAACCCAAGCTGATCAACAACTATTTCATAACTTCGACTTTTCATCCATTGTTTCAGGTTAAGCTACTAATAATATTCGGATCATGGTCATTAAGTTTGCGTTGATCGCTCACTTATGTAGTATACCTTAATATCTTAAGCACATTAATATTTCGCCTTTTAGTTATTTTTTAATTTTTTCTTAATATTATCTTTTCTAACCAAATAATGGTTGTAATTGTATCTACTTGTAATTACTATCGTTTTATGCGTGCAATAGATCGATTTGCAATAACTTACTGGACCGGTAGACTGCCTACACACAGCCTTGGACCATCCTCTCTTGCTCATTAACATGAATACATATGTTTTTTAAAGCTTCCTTTGGTATGTGATTAGTAGAGACTCAATATGTTGTTTTGTAAATGGGTTATGTATTGCTACCCATGCATGTTGATCAAACATTGTGAAATAAAGCTTTTTGAATCTTCTCCGTTTAATACCTTGTTCTGACGCGTCGAGCGCATCCTACTGAAACATTTTCGTTTTCGGAATAAACTCTAGCTCCAGATGTCAGCAGTTGTGGATGACGAGAACCCACCAACAACAAAATATGCCTTTGGGGTTAGTATCACTTTTTTTATCGCTTAGTGCAGATTTTCAAGGTATTCAAAGATCCGGATCCAGGCTTTACTCAGACTGTTATTTCTGTGGGGGCCAATTTTATAATGAGTAATATGTTATTGTATGGATTAACAGGACGAGGAAAACTTTCTTAGTATGTACTCCATAAGCAATTTTTTCATGTTGTTCATAGTTTGATAAGTATGGCTACCATACCTTGTTCGGTTTTCCTGTGTGTACGCGATTCCCAGAAAGATTACGATAAATGGAAGGAGCTTAGAGTTATGCGTTTGAAAGGTGTTCCAGAAAGGTAAGCTCTTTCCATTCCGCTGAACCTATTCCATCCAGATTTTTACCATACAAGTGCAAATATGATTGGACCGATTTCGATAAAAAGAAGAATCAGAAGGACCTGGAAAAATTAGAAAAATAAATCTTTTTTCAATAATTTATACGAGTTGTAGTGAAGATTTTTTTTGTTCCAGAACGGGTTCCGTATAGATACCTAGAATTAATAGTGGTTGAAACAAAATGTTTGTTATAGATTTATGCAATCTGTGCAGGCATGAAATAAATGGTAAATACATCCAGTGTATCACTACCTGGAGAAACTTTTTATTATACTTATGATGCGGAAGAAAAATCAGGTGCTCTTTAATAAAATACATTATCATTCTAGTCGTAGGACTTCTCTAGTTCACGAGTTTTCAGTTTTAGTTTGTGATGGAAAAAACAGCATTCATCAAAAATTCTACCATGATACTGGTAATACTGGTTATCTTAATTGAATGCTTTTGATGCCGTCATCAGTGTGCATCACCTTTCAGAATTAGATGACACTCCGCACATTTCACACAAGATTTATGCAGTAAAAGGTTTTGAACTCTGACGCCTTCTTCATAGATTACTAGGTCACATGCTAATAATACGGAAATCTATGTTATTCGAACTGGGACTACTAACCTGGGCATTTAGGGTGAGCAAAAATCATATAGCAATCGATGCACAAAAAACTACGACTCTTGAACTTGTATGACTTTTGTTGCAGTAAAACCTATTAATTATTTGATGGAATAAAGAGGTGATAACCTTGCAATGTTGACAAGTCAGATGCTCTCTGTGGAAATACTGGCTATGAACTCGCACTATTTGTCCCTGTTTCACTAGTGGAGTATTACAGAATATTTCAAGCGTTTACCTGTGTAGAATCAAGTAATGATTGCTGACAAGCTTTACATTGCATTCCGCAGAGAATTCAATTCTGCAGTGAGAAACAGTTTTTAGTTCTGCACAGATTATCGAATGTAAACCAACCAGCTTTCAAGTTCGATACTTTAAAAATGTACGCGAGACGGAAGATTTATTTTTTTTCATATCAAGTTAGTGAGCGGCTCACTAATTCTGGTATAGGTCATACGAAAGATATAAGGAACTTTTTGACAACAAACAACATTTTTATGTCGGCTAAGTTTTTTTAACCAAAATAGTCCCAATAATCGTAACCAAAGCGATTACAGGCACAACCACCAAAATTGACACAGGAAGGCAGACAAGCTGGCATGCAACATGTGCAACAATGAGGAGCTCTCTATAAAAATTTGTTAACCATATAGTTATTAACAATTCACGTGTATTGCCGCTGCAGTAAGTGGAGTTGGCATTGGTATTGTACGCCCTGAAGCAAGTCCACAGGCGACACAAGGTCTAGGAGCCTTCAAAGAGAAAGAGAAAAGTCATAGTTAGTTAAGCAATGCTCACAGGATTATCACAGCATAGTCTGTTTCCATATCCACAAGGATTCGAACAACCTACAAAATCATTAATAACTGATGAGAGAGAGCTTTGTTCATACTATTAGCACAAAGTCGTCCACAACCCGAACAACCCGGTCCTCGACATCCACCTGCTCCACAGCCTGTACTTCGACATCCTACTCCTGCGCCTCCTCCACAACCATACGCTCCTGTAATGATCCACAAACTTGAAGAAATCGCTTAACTCGGTAAAATACCACATTGACGTTTCATTCGAATAATTTCTGTCTCTATCAGAGAATAGCTCGGAGAACCGACAGAGGCATTACGAGAAACTGCAGTGGTATTTAGAGATGAATAGTAAGGAATATTCAGCACATGTCCCCAAGTAATAGGAAGATATACTAATATGAGAAGTTGAGCCAAGAAGAAATGTGGATTCATTCTCAAAGTTCGAGAGAAGAACCGTCGTGTGCTTTATAGGTGCTCTATCTTATAAAAAAAGGCGAAGCATTCAAAGCCCCTATGTATAGAATCAAGCAGTTGACACGCGACGATCCCACCTTATTGCTGTTATTTGGAAAGTGTGACCAAACACTTACACCTGGTAACTGTACACCGAAAAGTTCGCTCTTCTTAGCTACAACTTGCTCAGAATTTCTTGCAAAATTTCAAGTTCATTGAAGTGATATGGTTATTTTTTATTATGATCAGCAAGATTTACACACATTTATACACTAATTTTATGTTGGATACAAGTTTACATGAAACATTAATCGTGTTCTATTTTGAAAATGTTCGATCTAACGAAATAAGATACCTTCACAAGAGAATGAATTACCGATGAGTACTTCACATATTTGAGAAGAAATTCGTGCAAACTTAAAGCGTTATTTAATTCAGGCAAAGTAAATTTGGATTAATCAAACGTATTGAACAAGATATGGAACAATAAGTCAAGAAATATGAAGTTATACCCACATACAGGAAGAGGGCTACGAAGATAACAACTTTATCGAAGACAATATAGTAACTACGAATTTCAAGTTCATTCCTTAGAACAATGAAATAATGAAAGCTTAGCAATTAAAGGACAGACGATTCATTAGGAACTGAATAAGCCCCCAACCATTCAAAAAATAAGCGTCTGCAGAAGGAAGAGTAAAAAAGACAAATGAAAGTTGGATGTACCTTTGATACTAGCGAGAAACTCATTTTTCGTCGATCCAAGAACAACATTAACGTTACCGTTCAGTTTGGTTAGTCCAACTATTTGGCCTGAGTCGGATACGATTTATAGCGAATTTCTAAGAAACTTACGATCTTCAACGTTGCAGACAGCAGAAGAAGCACCAGGAATTATACAAATAGGCAAATCAAAATCAGTAATATCACGATCCTGGACGATATAGTCAAAGAAAATGATAGATCACTTACTTCTGCTCTTCTGAGACCAGAACGATCCGCAGCATCCTGTTGACTCAAGAATATAAATAATTCGAAAATTCGATAAGTGATACCTTTTCATTTTTCCGCATATCGGTTAGTAGAAATTTAACAGCAGGTTTGAAACTTTAACAATATGGAACTTGCCAAAAAAAAAAATACAACGAACCTCTGCTCATCATGGTTTTGTTTGATCTCCTTTCGTTCTAAAAATTCTGATTATTATTATTGTTGCCTTTCATAACCTGAAGCTCTGCTTACAGCCTTTTTAACAGCATCAGAACCTGAAGAATCTTGCTTAATGTTCAAAAAATTTTCGCCGCAATCCTGACGCTTCCTGAAAAAGATAAAAGTAAAAGAATTTGGAGACAGTTATACCGTTTTCTTCTGAAAACACCTTGAAGACGGCTGTCTAAAAGCAGTAGTTTCACACATAGTTGAAATTGAAAAGAAGAAAAACCTATTTCCAAATTTTTTTTGTTTAAGTAGTTTTGCAGTGCCAACTTGGCATTCTTCAAATTTTCACTAGGCTCCCAAGAATCGCCCAGTTCGTTGTAGCCACTCCATCGTACCTAAAGTGATGCTGAACCGATTTAATAGATATAAACTCACTCTGAACAAAACTGTTTCATTTCTTGTAAACATGTGATCAACAACTTCTTCAATTTCAAATTCATAAGCGTTTGATTCTACAGCCTAATCGAAAAAATTATGAATGTTTTGTATCTAATTCACTAACTACTTCTCGCTTACTCTTTGCATTAGCCTTTTTGAACTTCTAAAGTACTAGGCATTAATTCAGAAAGAAAAAAAACAACCTTCTGATTTGGTTCGTTATATTCCTTGACATAGTACATTTCTTGAAAGTTATTAGTTTAATATTGACTGGACATGAACCTTGAAGTTCAAAGAATTCAAATATTCCGCCTATTCACGTATTTATCCGCAATAAAATCAAAAATGGCTTAATCTGTTGAAATGTTTCGTCATAAATTAAAAATAACTGTATGCCAAGTTTCATTCTTATGAGTTGGATGCATTTCATAATGTCTCCTTTTTTAAAAGTATTTAAAGTTCAATAATTTATTCAATATTATGCTTCAGGGTAAAATCAGTCATGTCTGACGATGAAGTGACAGAGAAAATGGCTAATGCCAAAATTGGAAAATTATCGAGAAAGTAACACCTGCATTATTCGAACGTAACTAAATCTATTGAATTAGAGATCTCAAAAAGTTGGCGAAAAAAGCAGAATATGATAGAGAAATTCTTTCCATGGGAGGAAAAATTCAAGATGCCGTTGAAGCTGATGCTGATGCGGAACATATTGGTACTTCGGTGTGTTTCATATAAGCTGAGTTTTATTTTACAGAAGGTGGAGGGATCGGTTCAGGTGCAAATTTGGGTGAGCAATTTACTGTTTCCCAAACTGCTAAAAGTCATCAGCAAATGGTGAATATTGAAAACAGTATGGATATAAAGGTATATTACCTTCTGCACTCTTTTTCTCAAAATTATTTATGTAGGTGGAAAATTTTGATATCGCTGCCCAAGGAAAACTGCTTTTTAACAAAGCTAACTTAACAATTAGTTATGGCCGTCGCTATGGCTTAGTGGGACCTAACGGGTAAGTGGTAGTGTGCATGTTAACTTCATAATGTTCGTGAAGAATGGGTAAAACAACTTTGTTGAAACATATCGGAGCTAGAAAGTTAGCCATTCCTTCGCATATAGATCTTTTATATTGCGAGCAAGGTGAAGTTTTTTACATAAGCTTTTTTTTGTAACTGCTCTCCCAGAGATTGCTGTTGATAGCACTTCGGCTATTGATACTGTTGTAAAGTCTGATAAAGTTCGCTTGGCTTTATTGGATGAAGAGGCTGCTCTGACCGCTAAATTGGAGGAGGGTGATACAAGCATAACGGGAAGATTACAAGAAGTTTGTTCCTCTGCAGTTGAGAGAAACCGCGTTCCTAGGTTTCTCAAGAGCTTAGAGACATTGGAGCCGACGCCGCAGAACCAAAAGCGAGAAGAATATTAGCTGGTTTGGGATTCAACAAAGTGATGCAAGAGAAAGCAGTTCAAGTTCGAAATGCTCATTATCTCACATTCTAGATCTGTTGACAATTTCAGGATTTCTCCGGAGGATGGCGGATGAGAATATCATTAGCTCGTGCTCTGTTCCTGGAACCTACTTTACTCATGCTGGATGAACCGACCAACCACTTAGATCTCAATGCTGTTATTTGGCTTGATAAGTCAGTCTCATCTTAGTTGCTGTAATTGAATGATTCATTCTCAGTTATCTTCAAACTTGGAAAAAAACTTTGCTCATTGTTTCCCACGATCAAGGATTCTTGGATAGTGTGTGCTCAGACATTATCCATTTAGACGATCAACAACTGCATTACTACAAGGGAAACTATAGTCAGTTGATAACCTACTATGGAAAAGCAAAGTTTTTTTTTAGCTCTTTTCAAGAAAATGTATGTTCAAAAGCTGAAGGAGCAGGTGAAAGCTTATGAAATGCAGCAGAAAGCCCTTGTTGCTGCTAAGAAATCGGGAAAGTCTGCCAAGCAGGTTGACCACATTGAGTTCTAAGATCTTCATTTTGAAATGTTAAGGCTGAAGAAGAAATCAAGCAAAAAATGCTGAATAAACAAAACAAGCAAACCAAAAGCAAAAAAGGTTCTGCATCAATGGGTGATGAAGGTTAGTTAATTCTGGTTACATACTTGAGCATTTTTTTAGGTGATGCTCCTCCTCCACAACTTATTCAGAAAGCGAAAGAATATTTGGTCAAGTTTGCATTTCCCGATCCTTCTCCTCTTCCTCCTCCTGTATTAGGCCTTCATGGTACTGTTCATGTTGTTGTTAAATGACTATGTTGTTATTCAGATGTTTCTTTCCAATATGGTGATAATGTATTGTTCAAAAACGTTGAGTTTGGCGTTGACATGGAGTCACGTATAGCTGTTGTAGGGCCAAATGGTGTTGGCAAATCTACTTTATTGAAGCTTTTAGTCGGTAAAATAGAACCAGTTAATAGGACTTGATCTCTAACTGATCAATATTCGGGGGTTTCAGACATCGGGAGAGTTCAGAAAGCATAGACAGTTGAGAATCGGATGGTTCGATCAGCATGCCAATGAAGCTCTCAATATGGAGATGACTCCCGTTGAGTATTTGACAGTGAAGTTCCAAATAAACTATCAAGTGCGTTTCATTACAGAGAAATGTTTCATATATCTATTCTTAAGGATGCTCGTAAGCATTTGGGAACCACAGGATTGGCCGGTCACGCACACACAGTAAAAATAAAAGATCTCTCTGGTGGGCAAAAGTCTAGAGTCGCTCTAGCTCAGTTAGTTTTAAGCGCTCCAGATCTTCTAGTCTTAGTTAGTTTGTTTCTCATATCACAGTAATATTTTCATTAGGACGAACCCACTAACAATTTGGATATTGAGTCTATCGATGCTTTGGCATCTGCTATCGAAGAATTCGGAGGAGGAGTTATAATGGTCACTCACGACGAACGTTTGATTCGGAAAACTAGCTGTAGTCTGTGGGTGGTAGAGGATCATAACATTGCCGAAATTGATGGCGGTTTTGATGATTATAAGAGAGAAGTTTTGGATGCTTTGGGTGAAACATTGGCATCGCCAGCGCACTGAAATTGTTGATTTATTATTCCGGTGGAACGAGGAATGATTTTTCTCTTACGTTCCGTGTTTTCATGAACTATAAAATATACCTAGTTTTTCATGTTCTTGAAGTCTTTGCTTGACTATCATACTTGTAACTGTACTATCAAATTATTTTAACTTTGTTCAGGTTTACAGAATGGTTGGTATCACTAAACGACAATCAAACGTGAGGTAGTATTCAAGCAGCATATTTATTCATTGTTTTAAGAACACGAAAAAAACAGGAATTGCTTTGGCCCAAGGCAAGAAGAAGCAGCTTTTTAAAAAAAAAACTGTCAAGCCTATCACCGATAATTTTGAAGTAGAAAGCATGGAAGTTGGAACTTCCCCAGTAATTGTAAAGGTATTTTACTATTCATTGCTGAGATCTTCGTCTTGATATCACATAACTAATTCTGGGTTGAAACCAGAAGTCAACCCATCATAGCGCCCATCAACGCTCCCATAATTGCTCCTTTTACTAGTCCTGTGCCTGGATCCATCCTTCCGTAAGCTCCGTACATTCTGCGTGAACTTCCATAAGGTCCATACATTCCTCCATATGGTCCATGCATTCCTCCATATGGTCCATGCATTCCTCCGTAAGGCCCATGCATTCCACCGTAAGGTCCATGCATTCCACCGTAAGGTCCATGCATTCCACCGTAAGGTCCATGCATCTCATCGTAAGGCCCGTGCATTCCACTGTATGGACCTGCAATATTTGTTAATAAGAATACAAGTTACAATTGGTTTTTAAATAGTTTGGAATTACTCACCCATCCCCATTTGAGCTTCAATATTCGATAAGACAAAAAGTGTTATTATCAAGTACATTGAAAAAGAAACCATAGTCTGATAATGTTGGACACTTTTTGGAACTTTGGTTTGTCCACTGCCTTATATACGAGTTTAATGCGTTGTAATGTTGTCCAACAAAAGTTTCATAACAATGAGTTGTCCTAATGGGCATTTTTACAACGTACCTTTATGCTTTTGTTCCTTATGAGAAAGTTGGTGAATACAACAAAGTGACGAATTTCAGAAAACGAAGAAGTTATCTAAGCACAAAGAGAGAAAAGTTAGAATGAATGCTGATACTCCTCATAGAGCCACCGTGGTTAAGCCAGAAAAAGTGAATAGGAGTTTATTGCCGCTCAAACCAACGTAAGAGTCTAGAATTTTTGATTATTTTCAACGATACTGTAATCTACTATGCTTCGGATGCATAAATTTGTATCACCTCTGAAAATTTTTTTGGCAGGTCGGTCACGAAGCTGAAAAAGATTAAAAATGTCAATGTCGTTGCAGCTCAGCCTATCTCAAAGAAAAAAGTTGGTCAAGCTTCCTTTGTGACTTTTCATATTTAATTTTCAGGCTAAGAAAATCATGAAAGCTCAGCGGCAATTGATCAGAGAGAAGGAAGAAAAAGACAAAAAAATGCAGATGTAACTCTGCCATACTCATTTGTTGTTATTGTTGTTAAACTTTTGTTATAAATTTGATAATTCCTAGAACGTTTGGAGGGTTGATGGATTTACTTCCTTATATATTTCAAAGTATTTTATGAGCACGAAGTTTTAAATGTCCCTTCAGAAAAAATGCACAAAGTAGGGTTGGTTGTTGCCCATTTGTATGATAATATGCAATTGGCAAACTATGTGCTCCAATTAGAAGATATGGTTAGTGTGGTTGCTGTAGATTAACATGATTTATTCAGGAGCAACAAGATCGTAATCCTTCTAAAGTATATAGCGTTCACAAAAAAGCGTTTACACTTCCAAATGAGCATAAGAACCAAGAAGTCTCGATCAGAAAAAATTTACAGTAAAAAGACGTTTTGTTCAGGAAATTTTGTTTTTTCAGGAGAAGAGCAGAGAAGGAATTGTTTTTTGGAGACATTATAGAATGGAGTGACGATAAACCATATGGTCGAAATAATTTGATATATCAGTTTACAAGGAGCAAAAAGCTGTTTGAGTGTCGTTGTGAGAATGGTAAAAGTCAGGTTTGCAGTCTTATTTGGAATTTTCCTTCTAATGAGTCAACCTAGATAAAATTAGAAGGCTGCATCGACCCAAATAAACGGAACAGGTTTTGGAGTTCAAATTTTCCCAGTATTCACATAAGTTTGATGAGACGGTTTTGTTTCTCTCTTATCATTATCTATAGGAGGAAACAACACGTTGGCACTTCCGAACGTCTATTTAGAAGCCTGGGTTTCTATTGAAGTAACCAAAAGCATAATGGCTAAAAAAAAATAAAATTTCCTTTGAAGATTCTGGATGATAAAGTAGTGCAGTTTGATTTGGTTAATATTCACGGCATTTGTCCGACAGAAGAACAAGGGAATGTTGGAAAGGCGGTGCTCATCACTTATACAATGTTAGACCATCTAATATTTGATCATTTCAGCCATGGAATATCAAGAACCTAAAGTATAACACAATTACTCTCATCGAATTCGACGATGAAGATGACTGTTTTGAAGACTGTCCACCTAATAATAATGCGCCTCGGCAGGTCATCTTTGCAGTTTTAACCATATTATAATAATTTAACAGGAAGTGTATGACCTATTGGTATTCGCTGTTAACGATCGTTCCTTTTATTGTGATACGTATCCTCAATATCGATTTTCACTAGTTGTTTTTGAAGACCTTGTGGTTTCAGGTTAACATTTCCGGGAATTTTGTCAACTTTGTTGTTTCTGTTACAGGAAGTTATTACAGAATAGATGCTATTTGGAACCGTTTCGACGAATATTACATGGTTAAAAAGGCTATTATGAAAAAAGATTTGAAAAATTTCCCAATTGATGAATCCGGAAGAGTAAGTCCAAGATCATATCAACTTCTTAAAGCTTTGAGCATGAAAAGTTCTCAATTTTTTGATATTTTTTTACAAATATTGGAAATATCTGAGAGATTTCAGATTCGAACGTCTGTTAAACAGATTTGTGAGTTTCCTGGAGTGTATTACTCAGAAAGTCTTGGATTCATTGACGATCCTTATAATGTTTTCGCTTTGCTTAACATATCGCCTTATATCAGCAAGACGTTCATGGTAAAATAATATGTAATAATTGATTTCATCACTGATTTTTGAGGTTGCATTAGAAGATGGGATTCCCAATAAATCCTTTCGTTTTCGTATAGTTGACGTAATAGACAGCAAAGAAAGGCTAAAGAAATTTGTTAGTTCAAACAACGATAGAGTAAGTGGCAACCAGGTCACTAGCTAAACTTACGAGTTTTCCAGATAGAGTTGAAAAATCTGATTGGCCTTGCTATAAGCAATAAGCTGGTGTTCTGTTCGAAATATCCGCAAACAACTTTCAAGTATTTTTTTGAAATTTAAATAAATCATCTTATCGTTTCAGAGTATCACCCGGTCTTGTGCCTCCGAAATTAGGAACTTATTTGAAATATGATGCTGTTTTCGATAGTTTGAAAAATGTACTGTTCGCTAAGTTGACCAGCTGATGTGGATATTATAGTTTTTCGAAATCATTACATGGAAAGCGGACGAATCTTCCCCTCCTGTCATATATAAAGTGATTGAAGAAAGGGAGAATAATGATAAGGTTTCATGAATATTTTTTCTACCAGAAATTGTGCATCTATAGGCAGTTTTTAAAACGAAAGTGAAGAAAATAAAAAAAAAAGAGTTGAACGGATTTTTTGAAAGTGAGATGTTCGGTCTTCTAGATGACCGTGGAAGAGCTAGCTCAATGGACGATGAAGGGTATTTGATTAAGTTTTTAGAGAGCTATAACCAAAATTGAAGTTCTGTCTGGGTAGCTTATGCAGAAAGTACTTTGGAAAGAGGAATGCGTCAATCTCGAACTACATTCGAAATTATTTGTGTCGGTGATCTTAATTATGTGAGTTCATTTAGAAAGTCTTTAAGTATTCATAATTTCTAGTCGGAATACAATGCAGCTCAGCGTCATTCTGATCAAAGCCTTATAAACAACTATCACCCACAATGCGTATCGGATTTCGCAATATCATTCTGTAAAGTAAAAATTTCAGGATGAGATGGCTCACAGTGATCTTAGAAACGATTTAGTTAGTACGATCCCGGATAGTATCACGGTAGTCTCATATATGTGTATCGTGTTATAAGTTCTTATAGGCTGCGTATTACTCTCCTACTATGAGTATCGGAGATAACAGCCAGAGTACTCATGATCAACAGGATAATGCTTCGCTATTGGTAAAAGTTTCTCAGTATTTCTTGTACAATATTCACTTTTAAGAACGGGCAGCTTTTACAACATCGAAGAGAAGTTGAACTTTAGTACTAAATTGTTTTTTAAAATATTTTTTGGCTTTCAGAGGCTCGGTTCCTCAATTTACAGCCATCATAGCAATTACAGCGATAGCACTGCTTCTTTAAATTTTAGTATGACGGGCAGCATGAATTTCGATCGTGAAACATGTTTTGAAGTATTGTATCATTTAATACATTATCAAAGTTTTTTTTCTCAGAAATATCAGCTACTTCAGCATCGATATGCGCATTCAGCCAACTGTACGGATCAAATTTGTCGTGAAGACTGTCCTTACATGAATGCTGTAATAAGCGAAGTTTTAACGGTGACATTTTCGTGTTTTTTTGGCCATGTTTATTCGAGAATGTTTCAGGATGATAGCTTTTATCGTCAACTCAGATACTTCTTCCCTGTTGTTGCAGAAGAAATCAAACAGAAGGTTCGGGTGTCGACACAATCTTGGTCTCACTGATCTCGTTGTTCGAGCGATCAGTGTTGTTGGTGCTGTTATTTTTTTTTTTTGCACAAATAGATTTTTCTATCTTATTTTTTGCCATTGTATAATCACGGAACCGTTTATTTTTGAGTGCGTATCCGATGTTTGCACAATGTTCATCAGATAAATTGTATGCACGATCTCTTTTGTCACTTAGAAGATTAACCTTTCCAACTTTTTTGTTGCTTGAGCAAGGCGTCTGAGAGATGGCTATAGAAGCAATTGCTCCGCACATGAACCAACCTATTGGTTAAAGTTCTAACTGAACACGCGGACACACCTTCTAGGCAAAAAAAAATGAGAAATGAGAACCTAAGCTTGAAAGTTCTAACCGCGATTTTTCCGGTCTTTCGGAAAAAATTTTAATCAAATTTTAAAGAAAACAGAAAAGCATAACTAAGTTTTAATAAACTTTCTTAAGGAGATACTTTGGTTAAACAGCGGAACAGTTCTTCTCAGTTATAATAAACTCGAATAAAAGGTAATGGATCTGCATCAGAATTTTATTGATTACAGAAATACCTCGTCATAATCGAGCTGACAAGTTGATTCAGAGTGGAAACTTCTCACCAAGGACAGCGTTAGAAGTCAGTCGTAGTAGTTACATGAAGTCTAATTAATTCCGAGCTAGTAGCGGCGAACTATCTCTATGTGTTTCCGCTTGTATGCATGTATGTGTAATTACACTCGTTTTTGTATATGTAGAGAATATAAAATTGGGGAAACACAAAAATGACTGTTATCGGCATAATAATCCGATTTATATCATGATGATGTTACCTATAGACATGTGAACGACATGGAACGCATGAAAATCCGAGCCACGAAAATATTGCTCATAATCTTCTTTCAGATTATGTTAATCGAACATGGGGTCGAATGAATTATTGAAATGATCTGTATTCTTCTAAATCGCGTAAGTACCTCCCAATATACTTCTCCACCCATTGATTTCCAGTATAAAAAGCCATTTTTCAATCACAACCTTCAGTCCACTGAAGCACTTGTTGCCTTTATCAAAAGGCTCATCACTTAAGGTGAGTTTCAATATTGTATATATATATATATATATATATATATATATATATATATATATGAATATTTGTCTTCCGGACAATCTCTTACTAAGTTCACGCCCTAAAGATGAATTGATAACGCTGATATGCACTAACCACATTTGCATAGTCGTAAAATGACCATTGGTCTCCCAACATTAGTTTTAACTTTCCTACCGTACTAACGGGAAACAAACCAGATTTTTTTTTGTGGTCAGCAAACTTGAGATGGCTTGTGAATTGAAGTAACGGTAAATTAGTATCAGCATTATCATTCCAGTTCTGTTGTCGTTTTCTGTTTTGCCGCTCTCCTACCCACCTACCATCTTGGCTCCGCTACTCGTTTTCCGCTACTTCCCCGCCAACTTGGACGATTTTGGATAGGTGAACGATCGTATCATTTGAAGCTCTTAAAGTAAGTATTCAGGACCTCCGGGATCGGCCCAGCCCGCCTGTTGTTCGATTAGTTTCACGTTGAAATTCTTTGCTACTTGACGTCGCTCGATGACGTCGATCGTTGTTGTTCCAACCATTGCTGTATGCACTGGCGCAGTTGCAGCATTAGCCGTGCCTTTCATTGCGCTTCAGGAAATTCTCGATAAAAGGTTAATGTTCCAAAAGCTGTCTCAGTTGATCCTTTCTTCAGAATGCGTAAGAACTTTAAGAAGCACCTCAAAAGAAGAAGCTCTTGCCGTAAGTTTAGAAATTCTAGAAAAGCTTCAGATCCACGGTTGTGAAACATCATTATCTTCAGGTGTCAACTTTGGAGAAATCATGTCCTTGTACGGTTTTGCGAAGTGTGATAAGAAAGACAATGAATGTGCAACAAGTGTATCATCTAATACGGTAATATTCCTTAGAAACAATTTAGTAATCTATTCTCTAGTCGAACCCTCCTGCATATGAAGACATAGTTATACCACCCCCACCATACAACCAGCGTCAGTTTTAGTTATCTTGCATTGGGAATGTAAGAAAATTTTCTTGTTTTTCTTTATTTTTCCATATTAGATTTTTCTAATTGGACTGATGATAGATTCGAGTGACGTCATATAGATTCTGCTTCGCCTTTAATAGCCTCTTCCGCCTTTTATAAAACGAACTTCACAGGCATCCCGGAAACTTTCTCCAAACTATATCCATATCTGGGCCATGGATAAATGACCGTATAGCCGTTAACAAACAATTTTACTACGCTTTTCGCCTTCTTATTCCTTTGTACGAACACTTTGTTTGAATACGCTTCTGCCGATCGATAAGAATAAAGTTCTCCAATATAAAGTTTGAATTAATAGGAATTGGTTCACAACTAATATTTTGCCAATTTATGCCTAAAACTGTTATTACTGTTCCCGTTATTGTGATTGACGTGAACGTTTGGTAATGATCGAACTAGGTGTAGTTGTTGCTTGAAATACTTTAGGTCTTCCAGACGTGTTTCTGTTCTCTTCATGAGACTTGTCTTAAAAACAGATATAGTTCCACTTCCTCTTTGAGATATATATTCATTGCAGAATGAGAAAAAATTTACGAATACGGCCCGATCCGTTACCCACCGAACGTTTCGGAATATTTTTGGTCATTTTCTTATTTGGCTCATCTAACTTGTAGTTTGGTTTGTGTTTCGCAGCGTCTAGATCATCACTGGTTCAGTCATTTTCAAAACATTTCTTCCAACTAACGGTTCTATTGATTGAAATATTGGGGGAAATTATTGTTTTCTCCATTCCCTTTGTGGTTCATCATTCGTCGTTGGGTTTTTTGCAGTGCTACGTAGAAAACATGAGATTGTAGAGTTTCAAGTTGTGTACAGATAGGCTGGTGTCAGGTCTTCCTATAGCTTTCTCTTGTTATCATTCGTAATTATTCATATCCACCTTATATCGATAGTGTTCTCAATCCCATCCAATACTGTTCCTGAGTTCTGGGCGCAGTTTGCA